AACTATGCAGCAAGAGTGGTAAAGTGAAGCAGTGTTGACTTGATAACTTTTAGGATCATGACGCAAAGTGTATTGAAGTAATAAAAATAATCATTTGATTTCGCCAGTTTACGAGTTGGTGGAGTGCAAAATTATTCGGTTAATTTCACGGTTAACGAGTGAAATAGGTGCTTGGTAGGAGTACTAGTCTCTGGGAGACATTAACACTGTAGTAAAGTTTCGGAGTGAGAGGTGCTGTCCTGTGTTATTTTTATGAAATATGCGGACTCACGGACAATAGTCGGCGCGTTAAAATCATATTTTTCATATTTATTTTCCGGGTGACAAGAATTGGGAAGAGTTGTTTTTCGGTGAACCAAGGAATGGCCGGAGCTGCCTGATAAGATGGTGAAATTGCATGCAGTTATTTCAGTGGCCACTCTTCGAAGATTTCATGTTATCATCGAAGGTTTATTCCTGTGAATTGTCGATCTTGGACACCGCGAATTACTTGTATCCATCAGATGACGAAGTTTACCGAACCCCTGGTTCATCGCGTGAAGTTGGTATATGGTAATTTGTCAAAATTTGCGGTTTCCAAATTAGATCGCATTACAGACCCGGCACCGAATCCTTCGATCGTTGTCGAAGATATGAAACTCCTAGGGTTAGTACTTTATTGTAACACTTTATCACTCCCTAAATAGACATTAAATCTTTTACGAGCATATTTTTCTACATCCTCAGTGGAGTTAATTACAAAACTAATTATCATTCTTGTAACACGTGCTAATTTATTATCGTGAGCTTTGTATATGTAAAACAGATACACTGCTCGCCGAAACAACTGCAATCTTTAAAAATCAAAATTGTGCACTTCTGATAACCAGTGTTTAGCATAATGAAAGGAAAGTATGAGCATACCTCGAAATTGAATCGCTATATCTTTATGTTATTCTAAACAATACATGTGTATCTTTGATTTATACGATTATTATTTTTAAGTGTTGTAACTTTTTTCACAAGCAGTGTATTTACGGATTCACATTAATCGCAATGGAGACGTGAGATTTAATTTACAAGATGTCTGAAAGCAAAGGAAAGTTTCGTGTGTAGAAAGTGCGACGATTCCTTTTTTCTTCCATTAATGTCACCGGCTCGAAACTGGTACACAGTAGTTGTTAAACGATTATCACTTGATACGCGTGCTACTTAGTATGCGACGTTTGTATACCAATATCAAACCCCACGTTTAGACAACATTCGATTAATGGCCCTTTTATGAGCAAGCGAATAGAGGCATGTAATTGAAACAATTGGGATTATCGGCTACTAAAAAATTGTGTACCGATTGCACGATTTTTCTAGACACTATTTTATATCAAATTAAGAAGTCGTTCGTCTGTTTTCAATAAATAATCAATAATATGTACCCTTGACACGTATTACTAATACGGATTAAAATCAATGTAGCACGTCACTTTTTCGCTTGACAATTGCTATCGATACCTATTTTTTGTTTTTGGAATGCCCACCATTTGAAGTGTATATTCAGTTATTATAAATATTTCGAAAGCCACTCGGTATGCCATTACTTCAATGTAATTCGAATGCAGTCGATATTCGATTCTGTTTCATGTCATATCGAGTTGCACCTGTGATCGATCACGTTGAAATGTTTAATAATTGGTCTTGTTACGGATAAGATTACTACTCTAGTTTTAATGCTAATGCGCGTTTTCTCCTTGTGGTTGAACAGCTTCTGGATGTGTTAAATTTCTCCTTAAATGAATAAGGGTTTTGTTAAGGCGATATTTTTTTTTCAATGTTAACTTCTTGAAGCATAAAAAATATTGAAAAATATCCTCAACATATTTAAAAAAAAAAGCGCTTGCAAGTATCTATCGCGAGGGTATGTAAAAATGTGCAGCTGCGATTTATATTATTCGAAATAAAATTCTGCTCTGCAGCGAAAATATTACGAAAGATATGCATACGCCTTCGTTACTCTTATTGCGTTCCACGTTGAAAATAAAATCCTCCAAATTTTATATTTTGCAGCATAGTTCATGCATGGAAAAAATACACATGCGCGCTTAGCAAGGCACAATGCCGTTAACCAACTAGTTCTTATTGTTGTAATATGTGCACGAACGGCAGAAATGTTTGCAATTCTAGCACATGTAATTGTCACCGCAACAGAGCATTTTTTTTTTATATAGAAAGAACATGTCAAATCAGTTCATAAATTTGAAATAGCGAGGAAAATGGTTACGTCTAAATCGGAGGATCAATACGCGAATTGCTGTAGTTAGTAAAGTAAACCGCAACGATGAATAAAATTGTTGTAGCCCTGAGTTATTTGTCAAACATGCGCCTGAAATTTGAGTAAAAACGTTTAGAGCAAAAAATGTCTTGTATAAATTTCAAGTGAAAGTCTTGATTATTTTTGTTTGTGTACGTAACGTTTTTCCTTGGACATTAATGAACACTAGAATGCGGCCAGCACGTCGCATAAATGCTTACAATTACTCCAGTATCTTTTGAAGTTCACGAGATGTTATGAATTAATTGTAGATCACTTAATGGTGTTGTGTATATTTCTAAGCATAGAGTGATGGGGATATCACGTGATAAACGTCACAAACCCGAGTTCATATCGCTTTTTACGTAAAGCGATATGGATTTAAACGATCGGTGGACGCGTACGTCCTATCGTTCTCTCTCTACGAATATTCATTCATCCTCGAAGCCTGAAGTTTTAGTAAAAACGTTTAGAGCAAAAAATGTGTTGTATAGATTTCAAGTGAGTCTTGATTATTTTTTTGGGTACGTAACGTTTTTCCTTGGACATTAATGGACACACTTTTGAAGTTCACGAGATGTTATGAATTAATTGTAGATCACTTAATGGTGTTGTGTATATCTCTAAGTATAGTGATGGGGATATCACGCGATAAACGTCACAAACCCGAGTTCATATCGCTTTTTACGTAAAGCGATATGGATTTGAACGATCGGTCCACGCATACGTCCTATCCTTCCCTCTCTACGATTATCCAGTCATCCTCGAAGCTGAAGTTTTAGTAAAAACATTTATAGGAAAAAATGTGTTGTATAGATTTCAAGTGAAAGTCTTGATTATTTTTTTTTTGGGGTACGTAACGTTTTTCCTTGATCATTAATGCACACACTTTTGAAGTTCACGAGATGTTATGAATTAATTGTAGATCACTTAATGGTGTTGCGTATATCTCTAAGCATAGAGTGATGGGGATATCACGTGATAAACGTCACAAACCCGAGATATGGATTTGAACGATCGGTCCACGCATACGTCCTATCCTTCCCTCTCTACGAATATTCAGTCATCCTCGACGTTATCACTCAGCCTCTCAGATCGCCGTGCGTCGACTATTATCCCTTCTCGCATTATCACGATATCCGCGAAACACCCGGCTCTCCGTTTGAAACCGTGTGCACAGGAGGAAAGTGCCGTGTGCAAAAGTCACCCCAGAACTGGATCAGCCGATTACCCGAATTATCAGTCGTTAAAGGATATCGAATCGCTAAAGATTTCGGCAGTGACAATCGGGGCGAAATTATGCTTCTCGAATAGGGAGCTTGGAAATTGGAGGCTGTGCTTGTTAAATCCCAAATCTTGCTACAAATTTTATCCACTCGACGAAATTAAGCAGTAGGGTACTAGACATGGTCGTTTACTAGAATATGGAAATTAGTATTCTCGTGGATTGGGTGAAACCAGTTTCTCTTTATACATAAATTGTAGATAAATTATTGGTCTTTATGACACGAGCAAGATTGGTTTATTCAAGCTTGCAATTTGGCTCGTTGGGTATCTTGTATGATGCATATTGAATAATGCTTGCATTTCGGCACTGACATAAGAGATTGCTCGAGCTGAGTTTCAAAGGAAGTGAAAGACTTTTTACGAGCGTAAAAATTGTCGTGGTCGTTGAGAGTGATAGGTTTATTTTTTACTTTGAAGATCTGTTGGTAGTCCCGCGATGACGAGAAAAAATGATAGAAAACGACTTATCTGTCCCAATTACGGGGCTGTGGATCCGTTATGGTAAGCGTGATCTGCTGATTGTTTCGTAGCAATTATGAAATTGAACAAATACATTCTCGATTTTGATGTTAGTACATGCTACACAATTTTAAAGTGATGTATTTAAATTTGCTAAGTTGTAGGGTCAGAAGTTTCTACACATTTTTATATATATTGAAATTATAAGAATTAAATGATGACGTGGGAGAGTAGTCCATTAAAGAAAGACGTTATCAGCTTTGCGGTCAAAATTCCTTCCGCTTGATAACACTTAAAAAACAAGACCTGCAGTGTCACAAGCCCGGTATTAAATTGTGCGATAAGCACGTATCTGTGTTTATCTGTAGCGCAAAATTTTTGGGTTTAATAACGATCAGTGTTCCTCAAATTAATCTAATAATAATAGCGTTTTTAGCTCAAGCTCATGGTGTCATTTTTGGTCTTATCAAATTTAATTAAACCAAGTTACACAAATTCTTATTGTTAAATATTAATTAAATATCTAAGCATTCATAAAAATGCTATCGTAAAGTAATTAATAAAATCAGTACATAATCTCCGATTTAGTCCACGTAGGAGGATCTCGTAAACCTTTGTACGTATTTCGTAGCAGATAAGATAATACTTATTTACTTGATGGTCGCTGTAAACGAATATAGCAGAAGAATCAGTTTGAAACTTGAGCTTCTTATTTAAAACGATTCGAAATAATATCATGTCAATAACGTTATGAAAGGTTAGAGAAATTAGAATCTCTCGCCGCTTTTAATATGAAAAACAGTGGAAATAATATTTTTCAGTATAATAATGTAATTTTAACATCTTAAACTATACGCCAAATACACAGATAATGTCTAGGAATTAACGATAAATTAGACTTGATTTAAAGAAAAAATGTTTTTTTGCCCATCTTTCATTGCCTTATTAATGATTAAATATGTAATTTCAGGGACGAAGAGGACGATGTTTTCGAAGGAACGACACATCTGGTTCGAGTCCCAAGAACACCGGCTAGTAATCAGCGATCCACAGCTGATGTCAAAATTAACATCGAGGGGATGACATGTCAAAGTTGCGTTAGCACTATAGAACGAGTGTTAGGTGACCGGCCAGATGTCGTCGATATAAAAGTGGATTTAAAGGACAAAGCGGGTTACATAAAATATGTAGTAAGTGAAACAACTCCCAGCGAATTAGTGGAGGCAATTAACGACATGGGGTTCGATGCCTCTTTACCTTCTTCAACGGGCGATGGTACATTTGAGAATAGTAATTCACCTTTGCAACCTGTTACGAGTACGTGCAGTATACATATCAACGGAATGACCTGCGGATCTTGTATTAAGAACATAACTGGTAAGATTTTTAATTTCTTTTTTTTTTTAAACATATTTGGTGAAAATTTAATAATTAACTCAATTGTATTCGTTATGCAGAAGTAATTTCGGAGAAACCTGGAGTTAAAGGAATTGATGTAAGCTTGGAGGCAAAAGAGGCAAAGGTCTCTTATAGTAGTGGTGATGTAACTGCTAACCAAATTGCAGCATACATTGAAGAAATGGGCTTTGAAGCTTTCGTTAAGGATATCGATGGACAATATCCCGTTAAGGATTTAAGTACTTCATCCCGTGGTAATGTAAAGAATGGAGTTGTACCTATGGATGGACGAGGAGATGTCGAAAGGAAACAAGTGTCCAAATGCTTCATGCATATAAAGGTATGTTAAGAAAATCGTAATAATTAAGAGGTGCTATTCAACATTTTAAGTAGCATCATTATTTATTATTATTAAGTAAGATTATTATTTAGTATTACTATAAATTTACATATCCTTTATTCAATTACATTAAAAGTATGTGTTTTATTGTTTGTTTCAGGGTATGACGTGTGCTTCGTGTGTAGTTGCTATTGAGAAACATTGTAGAAAATTATATGGAGTGGAGAACATTTTAGTAGCATTAATGCCTGCTAAGGCTGAAGTCAAATACGATCCCGACAAAATCCAACCTATCGATATCGCATCCAGCATTTCCGATTTAGGATTTCCTACGACATTAATCGATGAGCCAGGTGCAGGAGATGGAGAGGTAGAATTGAAGGTAAAAAATTTCGACACTTATTCAACGGTAGATCCTACAAATCTTAATTAAAAAGTAGTAAATTAATAATTCGTTATCCATCTGTAGAGTATTCACGTTACTAGAATTGATATTATCATTTTACTGAAGATTAGTGCCAAACATTTCTCTATTCACAAAAGTAACATTATATATGTAAAGAGTACGAAAAACATGTATTTAGAAGATGTTAAAGATGCTGGTTGGCCGTTTTTTCTTAAAGTGAACAAAAAGTATATTTAATTAGTTGATAATTCTTACATATCCTTTTACTGGACAGTGAATGTTACTCATTCAGGATTTACATGGTTTACACAGATTACCGGAATGACGTGCGCTTCTTGCGTAAATAAAATAGAATCGACAGTGAAGAAATTACCAGGTATTACTTTGGCCACGGTAGCACTCGCCACACAACGAGGGAAATTTAAATACGATGCAGAAAAGACTGGTGTACGAGACATTATCGAGGCTATCAATAAAGTAGGCTTTACAGCAACTCTTTTGAGTAATAAAGACAAGGAAAACAGAGGTTACCTTGATCACAAGTAAGGATCACTTGAACGATTTAGAGATAAATTCTGGCAATTAAAGAACAATAAATCATAATGAATTTATTTTTTAGAGAGGATATACGGAAATGGAGAACTGCTTTCCTCATATCCCTGATTTTTGGGATACCATGTATGATAGCGATGACGTACTTTATGATAGTAATGCGGATTGAGAATAAATCTCATTATGATATGTGCTGCGTGTTACCAGGTCTTTCATGGGAGAATTTAATTCTTTTCTTATTTTCCACACCCGTGCAGGTATTATTGTATATCAATTTTTTAAGTATTGTGTCTTTAAATTATTGTAACAAATTAGATTTTAGATTTATACTTAATTGTTGAAATATTGTTTCATGACTTATTAATTCATTTATACAGTTTTTCGGAGGCTGGCATTTTTACATTGAAGCCTACAAAGCGTTGAAGCATAGGACAACCAACATGGACGTTCTTATCTCTATGACGACAACAATTTCGTATGTCTATTCAGTAATTGTTCTTGCAGTTGCAATGATTAAGCAAGAACCTACTAGTCCAGTAACTTTCTTCGATACACCGCCGATGTTGCTAGTCTTCATTAGTTTAGGCAGATGGTTGGAACATATTGCTAAGGTAACATACGGATATATTGTCTATTTTTATTTCCCGTAGTATCGTTTCATAACATGACATTTTTATGATACAATCGCTTACAAGAAAACTTCATTTCCTAACTGTCCGCGTATATGGTCACCATACATGAGAGGGTTAACAATATTCACGCAATTAATTAATGTTAACTGCGATAATTAAACAATGCATATATTAATACATAGTTTTGTACTATTATAGGGCAAAACTTCAGAAGCATTGTCGAAGCTGCTGTCTCTAAAAGCCACAGAAGCAGTTTTGGTTACTTTAGGACCAAATAATGAAGTACTATCCGAGCGATTAGTTAGTGTCGATTTAGTTCAACGCGGAGATACGTTGAAAGTGGTACAAGGTGCCAAAATTCCAGTTGACGGTAGAGTTTTAAGTGGTCATTCGACTTGCGATGAAAGTTTAATCACCGGTGAAAGTATGCCAGTGCCAAAGTCGCCAAGCTCCATAGTGATAGGTGGCTCTATAAACCAAAATGGACCTCTTTTAATAACGGCTACTCATACTGGAGAGCACACAACGTTGGCCCAAATCGTGCGCCTAGTAGAAGAGGCTCAAACGAGCAAGGCTCCCATTCAACATCTAGCCGACAAAATAGCAGGATATTTTATACCTTTCGTAATCGGTATATCAATATTGACCTTAGTATCGTGGATCATAGTCGGTTACATAAATATAGACGAACTACCAATTTCGCCGAGCGATCACATTAACAAATGTACTGTAAACAGGAATGAACTAATATTTCAATACGCATTTCGGTGCGCATTATCAGTATTGGCGATAGCGTGTCCTTGTGCCTTGGGTCTGGCTACACCAACCGCAGTTATGGTCGGTACAGGTATTGGGGCACTAAACGGAATTATAATAAAAGAAGCGGAAGCTTTGGAGAATGCTCATAAAGTACAGTGCATTGCTTTCGATAAGACAGGGACTCTGACACACGGTACACCTAGAGTAACCAGAATAGGCATTTTTGTAGATGAGAGGATATGTTCTATTGCCCAGCTGTTTTGTCTAATTGGCACTGCAGAAGCCAACAGTGAGCATCCTATAGCTTCAGGTAATTTTTTTTAAGAAATAATCAGTTTATATATCATACCGAAACTTTTAGCAATTTATTTATAGATTTTGTAGATTGAGGTTCTTCATAGAACTAAGATTTCATTTCTTTTACCAGCAATCGTCCGGTATGTAAAAGAAACCATCGGATCTGAAGTAAACGGTGAATGCTCCAATTTTCAAACTGTCGTCGGCTGTGGTCTCAAGTGTAAAGTATCTTATTTGGAGACAATGATGTCGTATGCTCTGAAATCAGAAAACATAGTGAACTATATCAACCAGATGAAAAAAACACCTACTTGCACAGCCAGCTTGAATGATGTTTCTGTAGATATTGTACCAGTGACAACTTTTTCACAAGAAAGACAAAATTTTGAACTTCAACAACTATTAAGTCCTGACACTCACGGAGATCAAACAAGTACAAATGATTCATACGAAGTGTGCATCGGTAACAGAGAATGGATGAAAAGAAATGCTGTAGTCGTACCGGAAGAAGTTGATTTCAAAATGATCGATGAAGAAGATCTTGGACGTACCGCAGTTCTCGTGTCTGTAAATGGTACCCTAGTTGCAATGATCAGTGTTGCAGATACAGTCAAATCTGAAGCGCATCTTGCTGTATATACCTTGAAAAAAATGGGGCTGGAAGTTATTTTATTGACAGGCGATAACAGAAAAACAGCTGCATCTATCGCTAGACAGGTAAGGTAGTATATGTTGGACACATTACTTTTTTCTTTTTAATATTTCCTATTAAACAAAAATATTTTCTTCTTACGAGTGGATTCAAGTAATTTTATTTTATTTAACTTAATCTTCCTTAAAACCATTTAATGATAGGAATATTGTATAGATAAATATTTAGACGAATCTTGTTAAACTTTTTAAAAATGTTCTAGGTGGGCATTAGCAAAGTATTTGCGGAGGTGCTGCCTTCTCATAAAGTAGCAAAAATACAATGGTTACAAGAGCAGGGACTAAGAGTAGCTATGGTCGGAGATGGAGTTAACGACAGTCCAGGTCTTGCTCAAGCAGACGTTGGCATTGCCATTGCTTCTGGTACAGATGTTGCCGTGGCGGCTGCCAATGTCGTGTTAATGAAGGTAGTTTCCCCCTTCCATAGATTTAAATGGTATTTTGAATTATATATAATATTTGAAAATGTATGAATGCCTAGAACGATCTGCTGGATGTCATTGGGTGTTTGCACTTATCGAAGAAGACAGTGCAAAGGATAAGACTAAATTTTGTCTTCGCTAGCCTGTACAATATACTAGGTATTCCAATAGCTGCTGGTTTATTCAGTCCATTTGGTTTCTTCCTGGAACCCTGGATGTCTTCAGCAGCAATGGCACTGAGTTCCGTGTCCGTTGTCGGAAGTTCATTGATGCTTAAAGTGTAAGTATATGAAACATGTTGTATTATTACATTTTAGCGTATAACAATACTAGAACATCTTGACGCTACAAGCAATAATAAAATTACATTTGAGTTTATTATAATAAAATTGTCTAATTACTAAATATTTATAACAACTTATTGTATTATTTTAGATGCATGATATTGTAATATCTGTTGCATGTATGTAACATGTATTTGTTGCAGATATCGTAAACCTACAAGAGCATCGCTTGAAACTCCGGAATACATTGCGTCAATAAATCGCACAGCCCAAGGTAAAGATTTGGATACAATTTCAATTCATCGTGGGTTGGATGATGGTATAACATCTACACTAAATAAGTCATCGTCAACAATATCCAGGTATGCTCGGACGACCCCGTTGTTTTCGAAGACTTCATATACTTCTGATATTTCTGTGGCTTAACAAAGTACATTACTAAACATTTAGACGAAGGAAAAATGTAAATTAGATCTAAACGAACTCTATTTCCATTTAACAGAAACATTGAGTTGCTATATTGTTTTCCGTAATCGTTTCTGTTAATCTTCCGAAGAGAGATTTATTCCTCAAAGTTGGTATGATGAAATAAGTGTTCAAAAATTTGTATACTTTAACTCTTTGCATTCAGATCTTCGATCTTGTGCAGTGTGTTAAATTGTCGACACAGAGGTAGCACTCGAGAGCACAGGGTTGGGTGAAAAACACTCTTGCATTTGTATTAATAATTATCTAAAAAAGGGGTATTTCACATATTTGTGGTCATAATATTCGTCAGGATTGATTTGCGAATACGCGTTGCTTCGTGTTCAAATACAACAAACATTCAACAAAGCTGTTAAATGATAACTTCTGGTATTAAAGCGTTATATCGATTTATGAGAGTTAGGTTTCAAACAAATATTTAGTTTTTAAGGGTCGAGTAAATTGACACGACATTATGAGTTTGTTACTGGTTCCGACAAGGTAAATTTCAGTTAGCTGTAATTCCTTTCCTGGTGTATAAACTGCCATAATCTAATTAACTGACATATTTCGTGTACATATTCATAAAGTAGTCATTTTTTAAGATACGTTGATATGTATTGCGGTGTGCAGGTCAACAATTCGTGAACTTCTCGTGCTTCTAACCTCAGAATTTATGACGGCCTATTCAGCTTTACTAAACCCATAATGCTACATCTATTTCTTAACACTGAAAATAGCGTTAACTAATTTATAACTTTACTTTTGTCAAATCATAATTACCATAAGCTTCTTTCTCGATGTAAATCGCTTCGTTAATTGCATGACGAAACATGTTTTCAAAGCATTATAAAAGCAGATACGATGTTATGAGAGACTCATTAAAAAAAGTACAAGTTTGTGAATGTTGATGGCATAACTTTCCATAACTTTGTTATTCAGTTTTGTATCTTTAGTTTTCTTATGGTGACTATGATGTAAGTCTATGTTATATTTGATTTCTAGTTACGTTCATACTCTACAAACAAATAGAAGACTGAAAATTAGAAAAAATACAGATTCTGTCTGTAACATGAAATGTTAACGCGATATTAATGTAGTCGACTATTTTATATCTGTATCAGATTTTACAACTGCATCAATGTCGTATTGTATATTGGTACTTCTCCATTCGTTGTATAATATTTGTAAATAAATTATTATGAATTTTCATGCGAATTATGTAAGTCATCTGATCCTGTAAATATTTAGTAAAGTTCATATTACAATTTAGTTGTAGATGTACTTATTGTAAATAACTAATTCTAATGCCATACTGGTGATGGAAATATAACTGTACATATTCTATCTATAATTGCTATTTACTGCTTGTTTTATATTCATTTAATTACCATTAATCTCAACAGCGCAAAGTATCACCAGTGGTTGCAATAATTCTTCAAATCAAATAACATTTCAAATAGTTTGGGGTACGGAGAATCATAATTATTTTTTCAAGCTTAATTTTAATGTTTCTGCAAACACATAATGAATTAGTTTAATGTACAAAATAAATTATATTATTTATTTATTTTTAATGTTGTAAAGATCTATACGTGCTTCATTTTTGTTTAAGATCTTGCACGTGGCATTCCGAAAATGTATTTCAGCTTCAGCTGTTTTTCCATGAGTTTAAAAGGAAGGGAAACATTTTATTTGTGTTTATTTTTATCACATTATTAGCGTTAAGAATGTGTCAAGGTACAGAGTTAAGCACATTTAAAAAATACCATATTATAATAATTATTGTTCACAGGATGTTTGGAAGATCTAAACAAGATGTAGAAGGACGTCTTCTTGCAAACGAGATAGATGAAAACGATTTGGCAGTGGATTTCTCGAATTACCATAAGAGCATAAAAATTAATGCAGCGATTACACCTTTATAAATGGGTAATTCAAATATTAATTTCTTTACAATATTTTTAACAAATAAGCATTTGTAAAATTAAGTTGTACACATTTATTTTAAATTCATGGATTTAAAAATTGGACATTATACCGCGTACTAAGCATATATCCATAATTACAGAAATGCAGTCATAATTTAATATTAAAACTTCTAAAATGTATAAATGTGTATAAGATATTGTATCAGGTGTTGACATACAGATTATGCCAGTCTCACGTAGTAGAATGTGTCGATTTAGGGAAACCTAGTTATATTATGTAATGTCAGCATATGTTCAGTAAACCATTATGTATAGTATTTAATTATTTTGTACACAATTACGTTCGTAACCCAATTTTAGTAAAGAACATTTATTTTTGTATACTTTGATTTTAAAAAAAATATAAATCTAATGTATTTGGAATCATATATTTTTAGGCAATAAAAATAAAGTAAGCATTTTACACATTGATATTTTATCATATCGATGTATACGAGGTTTCTCCAGAAAGTAATGCAATTTTTTTTTAACCAATAGATTTATTGTAGATATCGTTACAAAGGTTTAATATTCTTCGAAGTAGTTCCCTTGGGCATCTAAACACTTTTTTCCAGCGGCTCTGCCATGCACGATACGCGTCAAGAAGACTTCAACGGGGACCTCGGCAAGGGTCCTCGTCATGGCACCTTGGACGGCTTCAATCGACCCAAAACGGATTCCTTTCAGGGCGGTCTTGATCCTCGGGAAGAGAAAGAAGTCGGCCGGAACTATGTCCGGACTGTAGGGGGGTTACGGCAGCGTTGCCAATTTGTGCTCACTCATGTACTCACGGACGCGCAGAGTGGTGTGGCATGGAGCGTTGCATAGTGGAGCTCCCAGGTAGTGGCGATCTCCTTTCTCACTCGGACGACCCTTTATCGCAGTTTTTCCAGTACATAACGTAGTAGGCTCCGTTCACGATTTGACCTTCAGGAACGAACTCTTTGTGGACCGGGCGTCGAAAAAGACAATCAACATCGTTTTCACTTTCGACTTGCTCATTCTTGCTTTTTTCGGTTTTGGGGATCCCAAGGTGTGCCACTCACAGCTTTGACATTTTGTTTCTGGGTCGTACTCGAAATATCATGTTTCGCTCCCGGTAATGGCATTGTCCAAGAAAGAAGGTTCAATTTCCACGCGTTCGAGAAGTTCAGTCGCGACAGTCACTCGGTGATTCTTCTGATCGTCCGTTAAAAGCTTGGGAACCAGCTTGGCACATACCTTCCTCATGTGCTATTTATCGGTCACCAGTTCGCGTACAATTGTTTTGGGAATGTTGAGAATTTCTGCAATCATCCGGACACTCAACCGACGGTCAGAATTTAACAGATCGCGCACACGGGTCAAATTGTCGGTTGTGCTGGTGATTTCCGTCCAGCGCGGGATTCGTCGACCACTTTTTCCCGGCCTTCCTTAAACGCTTTCAATCATTGCGAAACTTGCGAATACGATAGAGCACTATCCTCGAAAGCTTGCACAATCAATTGTTGGGTCTCTGTAAGAGATTTGTTCAGTTTCGAACAAAACTTTATTGTGTAATGTTGCTCGAGTGATGATTCCATCGCGTTTCGTGACACAGGCATTAAACAGAGGTACGCGGAGACAGCGACCTTGACGCCCCAACTGCTCGGAGCAGATTGGCGAAAGCATCGCTTTGAAGCTGAGAGTCCCCCTCACCTAATCCAATCGGTCGGAACTCACTGCGCCCACTTTAAGGGATATGGCCACGGTAGCGGGTATAAAATCATGTGCATATTCAACAATTTTTCTTTGTATAAAAAAGTAATTTATTTATAAAACTAATTACATAATTATTTAGTGTATGTATCAAAGTAACAAAAATAGTTCTCTTTGTTCATTTTCTTATGCAAAATGGCCGACAACTCCTATTTGCTGTTTTCATATTTTTTCTGAGGCGTTCCACGGCGTGACATTTGGCATCCACAATTTTTGACCTAGAACAAAACAAAAAAATTCTGGTTAATCTACATAAGAATACCTAGAGAAGTACATATGGAATTTTTTTAATATTAATTTTTTCGAAAATGGCAGATATTTGAAGTTAGGTGAATTTCCAGTGAAAAATTTGGTGTAAAGCTGTTCATAAAATGGAAAGTTTTTAATTAATCAAAAATTCCGTATGTACTTTTCTGCGAAATACAATTAAAAAGGTGATTTAAAAATTTGAAGTCAATCGGAAGAAATTTGTTGGTTATTTATAACACGAATTAGAAAAAAACCCGTTTTGAGAAAAATGCGTTTAAGATTTGACGTATAACTTTTTTGTTGTTAAGCTTGAAGAATCGAACCAAAAAAATTTTTTACCTTTAGTCTGCGATGCCAGCTCTATAAAGTTGGCCTTCTAAGGTAAGATTTTCCTTATCTTCAGCTTTCCTCGACGATAGTGCGCTTGAGCGCGCGTCCCTCGCCGCATCCGACAGCGATCTCTTGGCGTAGTCGACGTGCAGTGCATCCACTTCTAAGCAAAAAGTATAGCATTGCGGTCCTATAGTCATGCCTAAAACTTTCATGATATCCATTACACTGCTGAGGCCATCATTGAAGGTGCACACTGCAATATCGGTAGCTATATCTAAAACCAATTTGCCGCTGGAAGTTCTCTTGGGTGCAAGGCTCCACACAGTAGAGTTAAAACTCTCATTGTTGTTTTGTGCGAAACCCCCCAAACAGCGAGTAAGGAGATCGACGTTTGAGAGCTCTCCATAAGTTGGTTTTATAGCTTCGATAATTTCGGTGTTGAGCGGCTTCTTATGCCGGTAAGAAGCAAGAGCATCCGTAGCCTTTGCTTTTTCCACGTAAACCAGGAGTCGGCACCGGAAGGGCAATTGTCGTGCTGCGGGTTCTTGTCCGTAGAAATCTTGTGGTAGAGAGTTCCCCAAATTTCTTTTTTCATATTTTCAATACAGCCTGTGTTTCTTCGTATCGCTAATCCATAATATATACTCAATTCATCAATTAATTTTCCTGTCAACTTTCCTTTGCCGCCAAGTACTTTCGTTTTCTACTTCAAATTTCGGAGCCGAGTGCCCATACGCTTCCGGACGTGATCGATACACTCTTTTTTTCGTACAATTAGATTTTCATAAGGAGCTGAATCAATAATATCCTTGTAAGTTTTACTATCGCAATCTCCAGTATAATAGGCATACTTCGTTTCGTGTAACTTTTCAGAGCGTCCGAACATTTCGACAACGGAATCGACCTCCATTTTTCCTGCAGAGTCCTCATGATTGCCTTGGCATGATTCTTGATGTTCTCATATCATTCGTCATATTCTGCCGTGCTTTCTTTACCTTTCCAAAATTCGCAGGATTTACAATATTTTGTTTTAACTTCTACATCGACGACCTTTTCCGCGAACCAACCAATTAGAGATGTAATGCCGTATAGAGAAGAATATCCTCTCGCCAAGATCCATTGCCTGAAACTGTAATTCCATTGTTCTGTCCTTTTTCAAGTGACGTTGCTTTCTCTTCTGCAGCTGCCCTTTGCATGTACATAGTACGCACAGTTTTCGTCGCTACGGCAATTGCTTCGACAAGTTTGTCATAAAAGGAATGGTATATCGGTCGCGGCAATTCCATGAAGGCATAAAACTTTTTTATACCATTCAAACTTACACCTAATAATCGCATTGCCAAGGTGATTCTGCGATTAATTTCATACCCATTTCTTACATAAGGGCAATTAGGTATTTCAGTTTTTTCACATTGGTTACAAGAATTTACGATCTTGAAACCCAAACCGCGCATGGTTGATTTTTACATCTTGACCGCACGTTTTGCAAACATCCACTTGAGCAATTGCGCTCATAACAGTTACGAAATTTATAAATCTGTTACCGAATTTGGCGTTAATGTCAATATCACGCGAACTTGTTGACAGTCGTAGTTTCTTGGTTGACGCGTTCACGCCTTCTGCATCTGCCTTTGCTAAGTATCTATTTACCGGTCTACGCATCGAAATATTGGTCCTATGCGAAGACCAAGTATTTGGTTTTGACTCCTTCTTTGATAGATAAACCTTTTTTTGGCCACTCATTTCGGCTGCTTGCAAAAAAATGTTTGAACTCGCACAATACAAAATCACGCACAAAAAGGAGAAGAGCAACTGAACGGCGTCCTTTCAACGGTAATACTGACATAGATAATGCTCTATAGGTATGTTTTTGTACAGGTAGACAATAGTGCCCTCTAATGGTATAGCTCCGAAAATGCGAGGGTGTCACGCGGCGCGCTCGGGTACTCTACGGCCGCGCCACAGGTAGGCTTACGTTACACACTCAAAGTTGGTAAAGAAAATTTTTTTCGCTATAAGTCGAATGGTAACTTATTCTTATGATACTTGTTGTGTACACACATCCTGACACATTAGATTCAACCACATGTTTAATAATCGGATTTCTCAAATTCTCAGGATTTCAGCCCCAATGCCGAAAACAACTTTCCTTCTCGTTTCTTTATCGCTTTACAGCGGTCGTAGCAATTTATTTTAAACGTCGAACTCAGCGACGTATATTGCTTTACGCTCACGGTTTCATTTATTCTCAAAAAACCCTTGGATTTGCTAAATTTCCGGGTTTCAAATGGTCCAACCCTAATAAACCCGTAAAAAGGTTGACTCCAAGGCGCCCAAGTGTTCGACTATTTAGTGGTCCTTGGAATTTTCCGTGCCCGGGCAACTCTTGTCGATCTCGGACGACCCCATGTGCGAGTCACTTGGGACACTCAAGGACGAAGTAAAGGGCGGCACCTAAAAATTTGGCACGTCCAAGGGAGTTAACCAATCGGCATTGGAGGAATTCCTCCTTTACATTTTGTGGGGGTTTTTTCCTGAGAAAACTCAAGTATTTTCAGAATTTCTAACATTACTCCTCCCACACGACTCTCTGATTCGAGAATCTCAAACTTGTCAAACTCCCACTCCGCAAGGGAGGCATGCGGATGCTACCTTCGAGAACTTTGTGATCCTCGAAGAGCGTCACTTGGTTCACTACTTTCAGTCAGTCGTCTTGGTTCCCACATTTTAACCAGTCGACTTGATTCACTAACTTCAACCAGTCAATTCTCAACAAGAGAACCAGCATACGGATTTCAACAGAAATCGCCCGACCATAAGAGCAGCTTAGCTCAGATCCATGTTCATTTAAAAACCAGCCGTACAAAATTAAGTTGGCGTACGGTCGTCGCGTTATCGTCGTGTTCGAGAGTTTCATTGCTAATCGTGAGGTCCCGGATTTACGCCCTGAGGACAGCAACAAACGCTCACGTGGACGACGCGACGGTACAATATTAAAGCATCGTTTAAGCAAAAAAAAATCTTTTTTTTTACAATTCTACCGTGACCATACCCCTTAAGTACCAGCACAAAACAAATTGCATTACTTTCCGGACACATCTCGTATACCGACGTCACATGAAATAACTAGGACTTACCTGAAGTGAATAATTATATTATATAACACCGGAAATGATTTAACTATTTATATGTTAGATGGAAATACGTATAGTACTATGCGCTACCGTAAATAAAGTATTTTTACGTAACGTTCAACCTTGCATTTTGTTGAAAATATATCTTCTCTAAGTATATTTGATGAAACTTACAGCATCCCAGTGTACACTGTTATGTAACTGTTGGGTAAATGTTACGTTTTCGAAACTAACATGTTATGTAGCATAAAAGTAACATGGAAGTTAGATGTTAGTTATTATTTCCCACTCGGTAAGGTAACATATTATGTAACATGTTATATTAATGTTATAATTTCAGTTACCTTAAAATAATATTAATTTTTCATACATTTAATAAAAAAGGTCACGCAATTTTATCCAAAATTATATAATTTTTTACTTTTAATTATTTGTTGCTACTTGATAATAGTTAGATATTAAATGACAAATCAGACTTTCAATGAAATTATGTAATGATAAACTATCTGATTTTATTTAAGGACAATTAGGATTTCATGTGACTAGCAAACAATAACTGAAAATGTATATGTGTGTACGAATTAGTCACATTTTCTCATACGAGTAGTAAACAAACATATTTTGTTTGACATATATTATGTATGACATATATTAATCTTATGACATCTGACAATGACGATGATGTAATAAAATAATTGACAGCACCCATGTAGTTCCGTTTTGTTACAAATATGTGCTGCATGCACACAATAATATCAGGACAGTAACATAAGGTAACATGAGGTAACAAAGTTACGTTACATTTATATAAATATGATAGTAACAAATGTTATGTAACCCGTTAGCTCCATGTTACATAACTGTTAAGTTACTGCGTTGTAACAAATGTCATGTAACTGGTTAGCTCTATGTTACATAACAGTTAGGTTATTACATTGTAACAAACGTTTTGTTATTTGTTAGTTTTAAGTTACGTAACTATTAGGTTTGGTGTTCAGTGGGAATGTAGAAAATGCATGGTTATGATTGCATTAAATTGACGGTCAGGATTGACTTCTTGGACTAATTTTTATTTTGAAAAATATGGGCATAATTACTTATTTATTCTCAAACATTTCCAAAATGAAGAATCTAAAAAGTATTTATATTTATTTAACTTATCGAAGTTAGAGGAATTAAATTATTTTTTATGTATTTTGATCTAGACAATATTATTTTAACATTAAATATAATATATTTCACTAATAGTACGAAAATGTTTATTTTTTGTAACATTAGTACAAACTTCTTAAAAACAAAATAGAGCGATTGTAATAGAAACTTAAATTTAATACATACAGTATGGTTATTACTATTAGCTCATTACAAAAAAAAAAATTGAACACACTATCTGATCATATATTTCTTACAAGTAGAAATTATTCTGTAATAAGTATATCCATTTAAATGTTTCACTTAGTCTTACTTTCATTACTTAATTTTACGATTTATCGTGATAATGAGTAATTGACAGATTAAGCTTGTAATTTTCTTACTTTATTGCTATTTAAGAAACAGTGCAAAGGATGAGGTACTAAATGATTCAATAATGTAAGATTCATTGTACTCCCTATGTTTGGCATTCATAACTTGTACATATTGAGATCTAATTATATTTCTTACATAAATTGAATTACGTATGATGAATTCCGTCTGCCTTAATATATTGATTATACCTTTTTGACATATTTATTTTCCTTTACTCTAGATTTTATTGGATCCAACTAGTAAGACAACAGTCAAGTAAAGAATATTAGTTGAAAAAATAATGTTCAAATAAATAATACGTGATATATTAGCATTTATTAATTTTCCTAACACAGTGTATTGCTAGTATTTGTTTCTTTCTCATACGAATACAAGTTATAAACCTTAAAATTAAACGATAAAAAGATATATGTAGCCATAAGTAATACATTATCTTAACAAAACATATATTTGTGAAAACAATAATGCAACAGGATGGGTCGTTATATCAAAACATAAAACATACTTTTTCCCCTGACTTTGGTTCCCTATATCTATACATTGATACAGCACTATTTAAACAAAATAATCTTTAGTTATAACATTAGTTAAACATCTGAATGATACTGTATTGCTTCTTATGGTACGCACTGTATAAAAATATAATATTATATTTATAATATAATGTTTTACAGAACTGTATAGCACATGTCAATTGTTATACAAAGCCACAAGACATCACAGAATGATTTAAGCGTGATTATGTATACACATACATAAAACAGTCTTATTTCTTACACTTTCTCCTTATGAAACATACATAGTAATAATGTTTGTGTAATAATAATGACGCACAAAATGTGTAACTTAGAATATAAAAATTATTTTGATCCATGAAATGCAGTAAGGTTGTCATTTTGCATGGTTTGCTGACAGATAACTCTAGAAGTACATAAAAGCTCTGCATTTTTTATAACAGGCATGAACGTTTTTTAATGTTATTAATAATAACTTTGATAATCAAGTCCATGTTGATTTGATAAAGAATTGATATTATTGTATTTCTCTTTATCATTTTGTACTATTGGGCCATTGCTTGAAATATCTTCGATTATTATACAATCAGGAGAATCCGGTTGTTCATATTTGGAAGTATCTTTTTGGTACTCTACATTTACGGAATTTTGGCTTAGATTATAATTATTTTGTGAAGATAATGCATAATTATTAGAATGTGATGGATCTGGCAACCAAGATTGCATTATACGATCAAAAGAGTTTTGAGTTAAATACGAATTAGTACTGCTTATGCTACTGTGCGTATATGTATTAGTCGGTAGAATTGAACTATTTGTTTCAAAATGTTGTAACGCATTAGAAGGTTGCTCGTTAAAAGTATTAATTTTTGTACTGTTTTCAGTGGACAAAACACTGAGATTAGATTTTGTATCGTTTACTTCTCCCAGAGGTAAATTTGTATTAAACACAGGGTGTGTGTTTTCATAATCTTCAGGTGGAACGGCATTTTGATACCATGGTAAAATATTACTTCCAATGCAATTTGAATTGTGTATAGTTGGCAAATCCATCCTATCAAATCTTGGCAGGGACGAATGTATATCATCATCTCCTAAAAGTACATTTTGAGTGTTTACAATAGGATTATAAACAGATGGAGAATTATTCCAAGATGATAAGATTGAACATCCAGGATTAAGGTTATTGTTCCTGACTGCATATTGGTTTCCTTTAGCTGATCCCATCCAAAAGTCATGCATATTATTTACAGTATTAACTGTGTTAAACGATGTTGGATGTGAAATATTTAACCCATTTAATGGATAATTTTCTGTATTCATGCTTATATTGTTGTCCGCTACATGTCCATTAAACTTTGTTATTGGGTCAGTATATTGTAAAGACCTATCGCTGTAACTATTTGCAGGACGATATTGAGTGTTTATAAATGCATTCGTAATGTCATCCAAATATGTATTTACTGCAGGAAAGTCTAAAATATTTTCTGTACCGTGCCCAAAAGCGATATCTTGATTGTTAAACAATGAACCAGAAACGCTTAAATTGGAAGACTCATATTGCACAGGGAAGATATGTTTATCATTTATACCCTCATGTATTTGGTTCCTTTGAGTTATAGCATGATTAACATGGTTGAAATAAACATTGTTCTGTGTATTGTTCGGAACTTGAAACTGAGTATTTTCACTGTAGCTAAAATTTCCATGACTTTCTTGATACATGTTTTTCATTCTACTGTTATCTGTGTTACTGTGTGGTGAAACTACATTTGAGCTACACTGAACATTATTATTAATAAATGTATTATTTAGACTCTCATGTCCGAAAGACCTTGACTCGTTTCCATTATTGGTTGTTAAATCTTTGTTTGGTTGAACATTTATTTCCACATTATTTAAAAAGCCCATAGTCATTGACTGTGCATTCAAATGATTTATGAGATTGTTCTGATTTTTGAAATTGAAATGATCTGTAGATGGACTGTTAAATGTATGTAGTTTACGAGATGCTTGCATCTTTGCACGTTCACATAGTATATAACATAGCTTATAGAGCTCGGGTGATGAAAGTGGTTGAGAATATTGTGTAACATCATCTGCACCTGCTTTTTGTATGCACGATTGCTGACATTTTGTTATATTGATTTCTTGTTCAATTACAGGTATTTTTTTTCGGTATTGCCTCCTTGTAATCTTTTTCTTGGTAATACCTGTTACATTGGAAGGTATATCTTTCTTCTTTCTCTGAGTTCTCAAGTTATATGATTCGCATTCGAACAATGTATCAAAACATGGGAGGTTGTCAAGTTGCGATTCTTGTTCCTGTTGATCCATAGTTTGTTTTGTATTTACCGCAATGTCCTAAATAGAAGACCATCCATTAAATTAATGAAACTAACAATTAAGTAATAGTATTATGAACAGAATATTTAGTTAAAAAGCACAGATAGGCATTGGAGACCTTTGACCTAAGTTTTTCTGAAAACATTAGTCACGTTTTGTTTAATACATAATTCTATTTATTGTAAGAAGTAAACGAGAAAACTGGGAAAGTAAAGTAATTCTTGTTGAATTTCATTCAAGTAAATTTTTTAGATTAAAGCATACCACAACAGGTCTATGATCTTGGAATCAACGTTAAAAGTAATTACTTAAATACTATGCAATTAGATTGTTTACGAGGTATAAATTTTCGTGATAAGTATTAAAATGTAGCTGCACAAATTCCGATAATAGTATCGTAAAATATGCATGTACTTACGTGATTTTTACAATTCCTCCTCGTACAATCACTTTGTGTCTCTAACGAGTTTCAAGACAATGTGACGGGATATTGTACATACGACGTAAAGTCGTGCGCACTTTTGAAAAATATCGAAACTCGAAATCAAATGCACCAATCACATTAGATCAAAACTACTGATCTGGAATAGTGCTGCTAAGAATTAAGATGTTCCAACTATGTACATCTTCATTAACCAATTAGCGTCTTTCTTCCCGTTCTTTGCATACGACCTTTAATAAGTTTTATTATAGTCGATTATTTGTTTATTCACTTACACATGCTTTTCAAATTCTGTCACCTAGCAGTGACTGAAAAGAAATATTGACAAATTTCAAGTGTTCACTATATGGTCGAATTAACAAAAAATTGCCTATAAGTATTTAATGTTATTAATGATTGAATTTATGTATATGATAAGTAATTTAGTTTGCTACCATCTTCATCTGTATATCAATGGATGTAGTGCAACTAATATATTATGGGAAGGCATTTGGATTCGCTAATGTATGTTAAAATGATGTTATTAAACTAGGTAGAGTTTTGTTCAAGTAAACTTTATTAAGTATCTCAACATGTATTTGTTGCACAAGCGGTTTTTCTTATTCCCCGAAATCACACAAGTTGGAAGGTAATGTAATAGAAAAGTATATAAAATAATAACTTATACTAAACATTAAAAACAGATGTAAGAGATTTAAAATCATCCACAATAATTTAAGAATGTAACATATTCTCCATTGTTTTTGTATGTACAAATGTCTGGAATCTTATTCGACATGGTGTATAATAGTAAGTTCCCTATTGTGTAAAAATGGATTTCATTAAATGTTAGCATGATTCATCTAGAAAAGCTATATGCGGTAAATATTTTTCTTTCGTTCTATTGTACTCAAAACAAATAGAAGTAATGCAATTTCAGACTAAGCAATAAATTAATTCTAATGACAAATGGCTCTAAAGTATTGAAAATCATTCATAACAACTGAGGCATATAGTATGTTCTCCATTTTCATATCTGAAAAAATGGAAATTTTAAACCGTTAATTAGTGACTATCTTGGTACAAGTATATCGATCTGTAAGTAAGCAAAAGAACAATAGCTAAGTATAAATAAACTTCAATGGTTAATAAAAAGTATACTAACACAATGAACGAGCAATTCTGACAGTATGTTTCTGTACATTTTGAACATTCCGTTAAACAACCGGAACATAGGACTTGATCGCAGTATCGACATTTACTTGATTCGCTTGATTCTATTATTCTGCAGCAGCCACATAAATCAGGTAATTTTTCCTAGAAGAAAGAGATAACTTATGTTTAATGATAAATAATAATAATTACATGTTTGAAAAACACCATGTACCTGTATTTTCTTGTCAGAATTTTCAAGTTGCAGTTTATTGTTTAGTATCATTTGTTTAGAATGAAGCCGATTCGATTTAAGGCATGGTTGAATTTTTTGCGGAAAACATGATATAGAGTTTATACTATCGGATTCATTTAATCTATGAGCCAGTTCCTTCGCACCTTCTTTTAGTAGATTCAGTGTTCGATCTGAAAATGGAATGTAATTGTTTAAATATTATAAATCTTGAAAATATGCAATTAAACCAAAAAACACTAATATACCCATTAAGGTTTGTACAGTTGAAACAATCACAATCTAATTTATTAATAATAAAAATATTCGCTGCCTGAATTGAAGCTTCCTAATAATTAAAAATATTCTAATTATAAGTACAGTTAAATGTAATTACAGACAATATATACACTAACAGGTTTTTTGTAGTTTAATTTTTGTCTAAAATTAACAATCATTTGCTTTATGCGGCATATAAACACTTCATTCTATGTAAAACAAAACAACAATTCTATTTAGTAATCTTAGTTTGTTTTGAAAGACATAACCTCACCATAAACTTGTTTCATACGTTCATCTTTTGAAACTCCGTTATTAACTTCTTTTTGCCCCACGTGTGTTTTCAGCTGAGGAGATAAATCCTCGTCGAAAGGGCAGGCTCGTTTTGGCATATTTACAGTAATTAAAAACAATATCGAGGATCTAGAAGGAGTCTCGTATCACGAAGAAGTCTCGCGTACAAGCTCGGCCATTTTGTCCGATCATATGCCATTTAATTCCCTTATTCTTCGAAAAGTGTAGTACTTCATTAATAAGCATTTAAATACTGGTTGAATAATGTTCTCTTAATAATTTGCTTGAATTATTCGAACATGAATTTCATACGGACGATGCTAATAACCAAGAAAGAAAAATGTGATTAACAGGAATTACCTTCTTCGTCGATTTTTTGATAACGATATATATTATGTCGGGTGGAAATGTATGTACATATTCTCATTAAATATAAATATAACAAACTAGCATATCTGAAATAAAATTAACTCGACATTCTAAGTCGTGTTTATCTGCTCTCTTCCCAATGAGATTTGTATCCTCAATTATCGCGACTTTGGGTTTTTATATAAAAAGATCCTTAAAACGAACGGATCAGGGTAAAGAATACGCGTCGTTAGTAATGTTTGTTTATTAGTAATGTTGCATCATTATTTTTATACATATTTGATATTGGCCATCAACAAATATGTTACAATTTTTCACCTTCCCTGACGCGATCATTCGTTTCCATGAAAACTGACGATATATTATATAATAATATATAATAATTAATAGTTATTACCTGATAATTATCAGTATTTAATCGTAATGCGACAACTGTACATCGTAAGCTATAGTTTGCCCCATAAGTGAACGACAACTGAAAACCGGTATAACAACTAAGGTCTCTAACGTCTCGGCCACGCGAAAATCGATGACTACGTCCTAGTGTATATTTTACACGTAAAAAATTATTCTTACAAAGCGCGTCCATTCTCTCTAAGGTGATTTATTCGACCTCAAAGTGTATCGAGGAGCTTTTGTCGATCGGGCATGACTGTTGGATCGCACGATGCGCATTTCCCTAAATCACTTATCTCTTATGTAAGTTATCTGAAGTATGGATTCACCATCGAAAATAAATCTTTCTTTGGGTAACCTGATGGGGAACAGGGACGGCGACCAATTCAATTATAGTCCGTCTCGTTTATCTCATAAAACGCAACGTTTCCTTTCTCTATCTGCGATATCGCTACAACGTTTGAGCATATCGATCTAAGGAGAACAAAAGCTCGTGATACGGTCGCCCGAGGAAGCTTTAGCAACTTTTACCTTTCTTGTGCTTCGCGTCTTTACTTATTTCAGCGGAAATCCTCATTGGTTCTAATTAACCGCCGAACTAATGGAATTTCATCTCGGGTCGTTCTTTGATCCAAGAGAAACGTGAAAAAGTAGGGAGGTATTTTCCGCAACGCGGCTCGTTTCTTGACTCGACGACAAATTAAGGTGAAGTGAAACACGTCGAGGAACTTGATCGACGTCGATAAAGAAGATTTTTCTAAATGCCTACGTTGCCGACGTTGGTTTTTATATTGACAGCTGTATCGAATTATATTGGATATTGTACCAAATGGCATACTCCACCTGTTGTTTTCGTACAATAAATATCAAGAAATCGAAGTAAATGTCCAGAAATCCTCTGAATTCATGCTTTCTGGGGCCCTAATTGACTGCAGAGGGACCCCCTGCGCCATCTGTGATTTCCAGGTCAATTAAATTTTCACTCCGAGACCTCGTATTCCCATCGTTTTAGCACAGAAGCACATACAACACTTTTTTGCCTTTATCCCGTTCAAATGCGAGTTTCTCGATTACCAGAATGTTCTAAATTGTCGTAAAATTGTCCCGACCCTTTCGTTTCTCATATCAGAGCCTTCGATAATTGTATATTGATCGAAATATGAGAGCTCGACGCCATTTTAGTTCTGGTCTGGGTTAAGTTAACAAATTTTTTCCAAAAATCCAAATTTTGAATGCGTCAGGACAATTCTTAGATGATCAGGAGTGATGCGTCAAAGTTTCGGGCAGTTTGGTCTAATACCCTTAAAAAAAAGCGTTCTATTCGAATCGATTGATTTGAAGGGGGTTTTACTTCACCTTAATGAACATGTACGCGTCGAATAAAATGCGCACTTTGATGCGTTTACCCTGGATGAAAGACGACCCGGTCGTTAAAGTCATTCTTTCGAGGTGATTTTCGTTGCTTCACCTTTCCTCGACGCTCCCTCTTGCAAACTACACACACGTCCACGCTCGCAATTTCCAATTCAGTCGTCATTTAAAATTACGTTATTTAGCTAATTCCGCGAGAACTTCCGTAACGACGTGGCGACGTTCATTTTTGGTCACCCTCGAAGGAACCACTGAAGGAACCGCAAGTGCCCCGCCATTACGCGTCCTCGATTTTCGCCGCTTTTCCTGCCGACTAGTTTTATTTCGCGTACATGGAATGACAGAGTTTGAGATGCGCACGCGGTATCCGAGAGGCTTTTCGAAGCTTTAGCGCGATTTTGGGATCCTTCTTCAACGTAAGCGACGTTCGCTGCGAATCCGAAAGCGAGCTTGCTAGGTGTCCATCTTACGGGGTAAATCCGAACTAACAAATACGACACCGATATTGCCCTCGACCACTCAGGAATAATCTCCCGGATCTTTTGCCCGCTACTCAATCCCTTGGTGTTTATTTTTGGCGAATAGTATTTAATAGCGATAGTACCGACAAGCGCGCGGAGAGTAAGATGAAGACGTAGCAACGCGACCTGCACCCCGCAATCTGGATGCGTGTTAACGCCGTCGATGAGCGACCCGAGAAATCATAAGTGCAACAGGATCGGCGTCCGATTAAATGTAATAGAGCGGTCAACGCAACGATAAATCACGCAAGCACATTGACCGAACTTTGACTAGCTAATAAGAGTATCGTCGCGTCTCGTCGGTAGAAGATGAAAACGCCGAGCGGCGTTCCTCTCTCGATCCCAGAGACCAGGTCCGCGCAAAGACTCGCAATACGATATTCATATATAAATATATTAGAAGCACAGTGATAAATCATTTAAACATCAAGCGATAAAAGAGAATATCTTACAGTATAGTAACATACGTCCGACCTCGCGCCCCCTTTCGCGAAGGACGCGATGCTCGTAACAAAACGCCAACAAGAACGTGCAATAAATAAGTAGCCGCGAGTCGCTTATATATAAATTGTATAAAAATTGCCTAGTCGCTAGCTTAATGCCTTAAAAACGCGCTCGAGGGCGACCGAGAGCGGTCGCGGCCGGGACCAAGATGGCGGACTCTCGCTCGCGCAAGAGGATTTCTGTTAGGCGAACAGAAGTTTCGAACGACGAAAGCGGAACGCGGGCTCCCTCGGGAAAGGTGTCGTATCGAAAAATAGTTCTCGGCCAGGGTCGGTGGACGACCGGCCGGTCGCGAATCCCAGAAACGAGGAGCCAGAGAGGCGTCGAGCTTTGGAGCCGAGCGGCGGAAAGAATGACTCTTAAGCGGGGTCGAGTGCATTCGATCGGTTTCGTGCAAGAAAGACATCAGGCGTAAAGCAAACGATCGATGCAACGGAAACGTACGATGACCCTCTCGCAGACGGCTGCTGCATCCACCCCGAACGCCACCCAAGTCCTATTACTTTTTGTGTTTCCCCTTACATCTGCTTGATATAAAATCCCTAGATTAATATGGCCGGTAATTTGTCTTTTCAGTTATTACTATTATCGTTAAGTAGTTACGCTTAATTAGAGTTAATATTAAACCGCAATTAGTAAGTAGATAACCGCAAGCTTACGAGTATTCTCAGTTTAAGTTTACGTCGTTCCTTTAATCTAGTTCCGATTAACTTCAATCTCGACTATCTACTTGACGGTTATTAATCCGCCCCCTGCCCCGGACCGATCAACGACCTCGTAATCTCGTATTGCAAAGCCCCGTTGATTCCGGCGCTCCTCGACTTCTCGGCTGTACTAGGGACAACGACAAGGAAGGTTCCGCTCCCAGCTGGAACAAAAGTAATTGACTCGACGTCGGATCGCGAGTTCTTCACCCGAAAGAACCGTCGAACGATCCCGACTCGACGTAAGCGTTAACGCGTTTCGAGCTCATACCTATCGACAGGGTGAAAATACCGATTTTTCTGCCAGGAAAAAGTCACGCAACGTGTAAATGCACTCGATGTAACGGTTTTTTGCGACTGACTTCGGTACCTAAAGTTGGCCATTCCGCGACGGAGGATGTAAACAAATGGGAAGGCAAATGGGGGCAGGACATGAAAGCCTCAAACGTTTTAGGATGAAATAATGCCCACATTCGTCCTCTGCATCTGCGCAAAAAGACGCGTAACTCGTGCTTTTGTTACATAAAGTATCACGGATACTATCACGATGACGTTGGGTTAACGTATCACTTTTAGGTATATATTAACGTTTTGCGTAAAAGAAAAAACTGTCTTGAAACTTTAGAGCCATTTTCGAAGCAATGTCAACTTGCATGCTTTGTGGTAGGATATCTGAAAAAGTGTTAGTTCCCTCCAGGTCATATTTTGCATACATATTGGTAGAATATCCGACTATGGAAGTGACCGCCGACTACGTAGAAGCAAAGGTACCGAAAATGTTAGTTATCTATTAATTCTTTTCTTTTGCCAAAGTGTACATACTTAGGTAAAATGACTTTTTAAAATTGTTCAATGCTATCGAAAATATTCATTTGAAACGGTTAAATGAAAATGGTAATTTTTGAGCAGGCATTCATCGTAATCCTTGTTTTAAAGATGGAATAGTCTAGGGTGATCGGCCTACCCGAAAATTCACGACAAATGAGGATGTACACCAAAATATAGTTCTTTCGCAATTTTTTTTTATATACATATAAATACCCCTCCCTCCCTGATTGACTTATCATCGGCCAGCCCAAATCGCTGGGCATAGGAACGTGAAATTTGGGGGAATGTTCCTTTTGCATCATAGATACTCACTAAGAAGGGATTTTTCGAAATTCAACCCTTAAGAGGGTGAAAAGGCGTAAAATGTGTTTTTACAAATTTCGTAATATCTCTTAAGCCCGCTGAGATATCGACTTGGTTTTTACTGATAGAAAAACATACACGGACAAGTATCAAAAAATCAATTTCAGGATCTCGCCCAATCCTTCAGGGGGTGAAAATGGGTAAAACGTGTACTGACAAATTTCTACTTGCACATATCGCGAGCACAGCCGCAACGGAGCATGCTAGGGTATCGTAAAACACATTTTTGATATGAAACGATAAAAGAATTGAATCAAGATGTACTTAAAAGTATGATTGACTAAAAAAAACGTACACGGACAAGTATCAAAAAATCAATTTCAGGATCTCGCCCAATCCTTCAGGGGGTGAAAATGGGTAAAACGTGTACTGACAAATTTCTACTTGCACATATCGCGAGCACAGCCGCAACGGAGCATGCTAGGGTATCGTAAAACACATTTTTGATATAAAACGATAAAAGAATTGAATCAAGATGTACTTAAAAGTATGATTAATACCGCGCTTAAACTATAATTAAATGTCGCGTTTCCTATTTGAAAAACGGGGGTCGTTTCACCGCCGGCAATAGGTATGAGCCCTCTTAAACGCGACGGGGTCGCTCGACGATCGATCGGACGTCCAGCAGCCTTCCTAGGCGTGTCGGTCTTGGAGTCAAATGGTATGTACCTTCCCTTCCCCTCTCAACCCCCTTCCGAACTGGATGACGACGTTATATCTTTGCTTCATAGGAACGAGACGTCGTCTACCCGCTCTACCGTGTCATCTACGGAGTTAACTGTCTTTTTTTCTTTTTCTCTTTTCTGCTTTTAAATATTCACAAGTACTTTTGATTCGCGAGCAGACTTTAGCGAGTCTCCGAATGCCCCTCCACGACCCCGGCGACAGGTTGACAAGTACATTTAGTCTAAGGTGGTGTCAACGTCGCTTCGTCGCTTATCGTTCCTCGAATTTGCCGTACCCCTCGAATCTGCGCGCAACGATTACCCCCCCGCGAACTATTACCACCCCCGCTACGTTTCTCCCAGTCCTAATATCGATAGTGACGTTTAAACACACACACTGTTATTTCGCTATCAAGCTTTGCCAATTAGACGTAAGATATGTCGGTTGAGAAAATATATCTTAGGTTTACACGCTACTAGAAATACTAATCGCTAGTTCCTCGCAAGTTCTTACGAAGCGGATGAGAAGCCGTATGTGCCATACGTGACCCTCGTGCACCCTGCGCTCTAGTCTTCGTTTTATTTAGAGTTGTTCGGTGAAAAAAATAAATCTCTCGTCGGCCTAAAAATCTGCTCGGCCTCGTCGACCCACGACGAGCGTTCTTCTTTTCCGTTAAGCCGACGACGCCGGTTGAAGGGTTAAGATATTCTGGTTTACACGGTTTTTTCAGTGTACGGTCCTTATTGTTCGCACGTTTTCAGATCTAGCGACTCGCTCGGAGTCCTTGATCGCCTTTTTCGCGACTCCTCACCGTTTCCGAAGCACGCGGTTTGCTGTTCCGCGTCCGAGTTCGACCGGTAGGTGTTTTTACGTGCTTTGCGTGTTTCTCTTTCCGTTCGTTTCCACTTTTCAGCGAAGCCGTGCATTGCAAGAAAGCGAGTAAACGAGAACGTTAGTTAAGGTGAGGTGAAACACGTCGAGGAACTTGATCGACGTCGGTAAAGAAGATTTTTCTAAATGCCTACGTTGCCGACGTTGGTTTTTATATTGACAGCTGTATCGAATTATATTGGATATTGTACCAAATGGCATACTCCACCTGTTGTTTTCGTACAATAAATATAAAAAAATCGAAGTAAATGTCCAGAAATCCTCTAAATTCATGCTTTTTGGGGTTCTAATTGACTGCAGAGGGACCCCCTGCGCCATCTGTGATTTCCAGGTCAATTAAATTTTCACGCCAAGACCTCGTATTCCCATCGTTTTGGCATAGAAGCCCATACAACACTTTTTTTACCTTTATTTCGTTCAAATGCGAGTTTATCGATTACCAGAATGTTCTAAATTGTTGTAAAATTGTCCTGACCCTTTCGTTTTTCATATCAGAGCCTTCGATAATTGTATATTGATCGAAATATGAGAGCTCGACGCCATTTTGGTTCTGGTCTGGGCTAAGTTAACAAATTTTTTCCAAAAATCCAAATTTTGAATGTGTCAGGACAATTCTTAGATGATCGGGAGTGACGTGTCAAAGTTTCGGACAGTTCGGTCTAATACCCTTAAAAAAAAGTGTTGTATTCGAATCGACTGATTTGAAGGGGGTTTCACTTCACCTTAACGCTTTGTATAACTCCTATTTGGAGACACTCCGAAATTTGCACGGAAATCTTCCCACGTGATATAGGGTGTGGTGCAGGAATACGTGCGATGATTTTTTTACAGGGAAGCGGAAGGTATTATGTAGAAATTAAGAACTTCCCCGGTAAAATGATGTCGATAAGGGAGAAGTGGCCAGATAAAATCGGACGATCTCGTTTTACGGAAAACGGCGAAGTGTGCTTTCAACGGCTTAGAGTGAAATATTTTTTCGGAAAGTTAAATACGTTCTTGCGTTGACGTTCCGAAACGTAATATCTTTCCGGTATGTTAACTATTTCAATTAACTTGGTTTACTAACTTCGTTTATCCGACCTCCGGAATAACGTAATTAATCCAATATTTTCCATGTGTAGATAAACTGAGTTAATTGTTAAGGACCTGTGCTCTCCGTCCTTTGACCACTTCCTCGAGTACGATACAAGAGTAATCGGTAAGTTTAAAATATTAACAGGGGGGTGAAGATATGTGAGTGAGTATTCGGTGAATCTACCGACTCGAATATATAAACCCCGTCGACCCAGTAAAACACGAAGTTTATGTTCATTTTGACACAGCGAGTGTCCCAACGGCATTAAACTGGAAATTCATCCGATTGAAATAAATCTCCTCGCAATATCTACATGTCGCTCCGCCACATGTATTAAATGTAATCACCCCTTTCGGCGACATCCTACCTAACTGCTCGATCGTCGCCCTTCTGTACTTCTTCAACTCGCTTTTTTACACTGCACGGTGACATATCGTACCCCAACCGCGCGCATAGATTTCTTTAATCTACTCTTTTCAGAAGCACAACAACGACATTAAATTCATCTACCTACTTGGCAGTAAAGTCTTTATCGTCCCCGAACGACATAATTACTTGTCACGAAACCATTGAACCCCATCGCCCTATTTAGCGTTCCCCTCGTGTCGATTAGCGCCTCGGAAAGGAAAGAGGAGCAAAAGCGATTACTACCGATGTCTCTCTTCTCGGGTCCCGGGACCGAGTCTCGAGACTTTTCCGCCGATAAAGAACCTCACCAAAGTCTCTGAGTGCTGTCCCACAGATTCCTCAGGCTCGTCCGGAAGTCGAAGCGGAAGTTCTGATAGTATCACGCTATGTTGTTGCCGCTCATCGTTGTCACGCACTTCTTCTCGGAGGTGTTCTGGCTTTCGGAGTTGCTGCGCACTGCTTTAGGCGGACTCCCAGGGGTTGGTGTTACGTCGCCGGGAACGGTGTTGTTGTTGTTCGTCGTCGAGGTTGAACTCCTTCGGCCGTTCTCGCGAGTCGGTGACTTCACGTCGAACACGGACGTGTCCGACTCAATGTCCGAGTCGATCTGAAAGTCCAGTAATCCCTGGAGAATTTACGCGTTTCAAATGACTCTTGATGATCTGGGATGAACCGATCAGCTTCGCCATTCGGGATTTTATTCTCTTATGGTAAAGTGAAACCCCCCTCAAATCAGTCGATTCGAATAAGACACTTCTTTTCAAGGGTATTGGATCGAACTGTCTGAAACTGTGACACGTGACTCGTGAGCATCTAGGAATTATCCTAACACTTTCAAAATATGGATTTTCGAAGAAAATTTTTAACTTACAAGGAAGGTATCCCAGGTCGATCTCTCCGATTTCATTTCTTTTATAATATGTTATAGTAGACTAAAACCTAAGCGACACGTATTTTTTTTATCTGCCATTAATTTTATATGATTACTTTAAGGGGGTGCAACCACCATTCAAAGTAAGGCCTGTCAAGGGGCGATTTGGCAGTTTCACCTACAAGAACATAATATTTTTTTTCCAATCCACCTGGAAAAGCTTTCTCATAACAAGAAATAAAAAATAATAATTTTCTCAATTAAAAAAAAAATTAAGGGGTGAGCTATCCCTGACAGACCTTACTTTGAATGGTGGTTCCATCCCCTTAAAGTGTTTAATGGCAGATAAAAAAAATACGTGTCGCTTAGTTTTTAGTCTACAATAGCATATTATAAAAGAAATCAAATCGGAGAGATCGACCTGGGATATCTTCCTTGTCAATCCAGACAAGAACCAAAACGGCGTTGAGCTCTCATGTTTCAATCGATATACAATTATTGAAAGCTCTAATATGAGAAACGAAAGCGTCAGGAGAATTGTACGACAATTTAGAACCCTCTGGTAATCGATACACTCGCATTTCAACGGGATAAAGGCAAAAAAGCGTTGTATGCGCTTCTGTGCTAAAACGATGGGAATACAAGGTATCGGAATGAAAATTTAATTGATCTGGAAATCACAGATGGCGCAGGGAGTCCCTCTGCAGTCAATTAGGGCCCCAGAAAGCATGAATCCCCAGGATTTCTGGCGTTTTACTTTGATTTTTTTATAATTATTGTACGAAAACGACAGGTAGAGTATGCCATTTGGTACAATACCCAATATAATTCGACAAAGCTGTCAATATAAAAACGAACGTCGGCAACGTAGGTATTCATGCTTTCTGGGGCCCTAATTGACTGCAGAGGGACACCCTGCGCCATCTGTGATTTCCAGGTCAATTAAATTTTCCCTTCGAGACCTCGTATTCCCATCGTTTTAGCATAGAAGCGCATACAACACATTTTTTGCCTTTATCGCGTTCAAATGCGAGTTTATCGATTACCAGAGTGTTCTAAATTGTCGTAAAATTGTCCTGTCCCTTTCGTTTCTCATATCAGAGCCTTCGATAATCGTATATTGATCAAAATATGAAAGCTCGACGCCATTTTGGTTCTGGTCTGGGCTAAGTAAAAAAAGTTTTTCCAAAAATCCAAATTTTGAACGTGTCAGGACAATTCTTAGTTGATCACGAGTCATGTGTCAAAGTTTCGGACAGTTTGGTTTAATATCCTTAAAAATAAGTGTTGTATTCGAATCGACTAATTTGAAGGGGGTTTCACTTTACCTTAAAAGGGTTAGATGACTGTGAAATGCCATTTACGGGGGTTACAGCACGATGACTGTCTGAAAATCGGTGCAACTTCTTGAAATTTTATAGAAAACAGGAACGACATGGAATTTCTAGCAATGGGATTTTGCTGTACTAGTATAACAGAATATGTACATATTTTTTTCTTCTTTTTAAAACGAAATTTTGGCTATGGGGTAGTTTTAATGTAATGAGTTTCTAGGCAACCCTAATCGTTGCGGTGGGGTCGATTGTGGGTATACTTTATGCAGTGAAACAGAAATTAAAAAATTTCTCATTTCCATATAACATTTCCTAGGTCAGTATGGTATATATGATATTTTTTAATTATTGATTTGTATAAAAATGAGACGTGATTGAAAGGGAAATCTAGATTGTTGTCAAAAAATTTCATATACAAATGTCTGAAGCACTCATAGTTTTAAATATTTCGCAAAACCCCTACGTATCGTTAAGACGATCTAAGGATAATGTAAAAAGAAAGGTCATGTGAAAGTTTGAAGTAAATTGGATGAACATTGTAAACACTATCAACGCCATCGGCATTAAAAATGTTGTTTTGAGTGAAACGCGTTTAAACGGTTTTTTTCTGATTTGCTTTATATAATACGAGAATAATGGAAATTTATCTTTAATTTAAACTCATGAAACAATCAGGATTTTCTATTCAAACTAATGGGATATTATTTTTACAACTAAAAACTATGAAATAAACGTAAGAAAGAAAATCTGATTTGTTCAAACTTCTATCGTGGTGGAACCCCTTAAGCAAAATGAGTTTAAAACAGAATGAAAATGTATAGGAAATATTTTCTTTCAGGACTATTTTATTTCATGTTCTACGGAGATTTTAAAATTAAAAAACCTTCAAAATGTTACAAAATTGGCTGACTTGTGTGGGCTAGAAGTTTCTGTTTTTTTTGTTTCTGCGCTGTACATGATTCCAGGAGAACGATAAGTCTAAAAAATGTGACGATGGTTTCATAAATTAGAAAAGATTATTTAAGAACCGATGGCACGGATTTTTAATTAAAATTTTCGCTTAAAAAAGAGATCAACAATTAAAGTGCAAAAAAAAGCAATGAAAAAATGATATCTATTGGCTTTCTTCCTAAAAACTGAATTTCTTTTTTATCGAAAATCCGTCCTGACAAATCTTAAGAAATCTTTTTGAGTTTCTGAAGCCACCTTAACTTTTTGTTTTATATTCCTGATATCATGTATATTGTGAGAAAAATTCCAACGCTGGGCATCTCTGTACGTTCAGATGACAGAAATGGACATTGAGGTCTATTTGAGTATGAACATAAGTGTTTGTTTCTGTATCTTCATTGAACATGCGTGTACGTATGTGACTACGTGTTCACGTTATTTTATGACGTTATCACTTCTTACTTTTTGCAGGCATTCAGACACGTACAGAAACGGATAATCTGTTATTTGAATAATTACTTCCATCTGTTTCTATTCGGAATTGCAGAAAAAAAAAACGTACAGAAACATTCGGAGCGTATACAGGCTCTATTTGTTTTTGCACGACATTTTCAGCAAGGTAATTAGGATTTCAATTTTACTACCTACATTCCGATAAGTGACTCCAAGATTTGATAGATACATTCTCTTTGAATTAAACGAGTATTTAATATTTCAGTTTTACTCATTGTACTACGAAATGCGACAGTAAGATTTGATCAATAGATTCCCCTTGAATGAGAGCGTACGATTAATTTATTAGTGAACAGTTCGTGGAGATTAAATTAAAATTAGATTCGGGTCCTGATCGATCGAAATATGAATGCGAGGCTTCATAATCGAAATGTTGAGCGTTTACGATTAGCATATGCGTAGGCAATGATTCAAACGAGTTTTGGAATGTTATCGATGATGATGAGGTGATGTGCTACCTTGTTGAAGCACACTACCTGTCTGGTAGCGGGGTGAGGACTGAGGGACAATCTCTCGCTGGTATCGCTCCCACAACTGGAGCTTTCGCTCATTTCCGTTGTGAACTTTCGCGATGCTCTCGGACTTGGTGGTGCCGCTCTACTTTGACAACCCAGGCTGATGCCAACGCTTCTGGAGCAGACTTGCGACTGAATGTGCTCGCAAACTCTCCTGAATCTCCGAATATTACCTGTTGAAATGAATTACAAATTATTTGTACATCATTTAACGAAGGGTTATCGGTAAACTAAGAAAATCGGCCTGAATTTGAATAAAAATTAAGTCGTGTCGCTCTCAAAAGATTTTTTTCGAGGAATCAGAGGATCTATACTTTAAAGTGTACATAAATATAACTAGATACCAGGTGTATAAGCTTAAATCCGCTGTTTTTTAGTGAGAAAAATATATGCTTTTTTCATAGAAAGCGAAAAAATAATTTATTCAAAGTACTGGCCCTCGCTAGCTACACATTTGTCCCATATCTCGGGCAATTTGTGGATACCACGCCAAAAAAATCCCTTCTCTTTCGAGGCAAACCACTCATCAAGCCATTGTCGGACATCTTCGTAAGAATCGAAGTGTTCAGCGAGCGCGTGGCCCATCGACGAAAACAGGTGGTAGACGGAAAGGGCCAGGTATGATGAATAAGCGGCATGGGATAGCACCTCCCAGTTGAGTGCCTCCAAGTAGTTTCGGACCATTTTTGACATGTGCGATGGGGCGTTGTCGTGGAGGAAAATCAGCTTGTCATGTCTTTGCTGATAATCCGGCCTTTTTTCACGCAGAGCACGGGGCAATTTGATCAGTTGTTGGTGGGAGCTGTGGGCATTGACAGTTTCACTAGGTTTCAACAGCTCGTAGTAGACGATATCCTGCTAATCCCACCAAACGCACAGCATCGTCTTCCGTCCGAAGCGATTTGTTCCTGCGGACGATTTTGATAGTTGGCCGGGATCAACCCACGATTTCATGCGTTTAGGATTCTCGAAAAATATCCATTTTTCTTCGCCAGTCACAATCCGATGCAGGAACGACTTTCTTTTTTGTCTGGCGAGCAAGATTTCGCATGTGTTTTGGCGTCGCTCCATCTGCCTATCGGGCAATTCTTGCAGCACACATTTTCCGATCTTTTGAACCTTCCCCATGGCACGTAGGCGCATGGATATGGCTGGTTGAATAACACCCAATTGCTCGGCAAGCATTTTTTGCGATTTTTTGTATCGTCCTCGTCCAATAGAATCTGCAATTGATGGTCCTCAATCTTCCTGGGCCGATTTTCACGTTTCTTGTCGGTCGGGTCAAAATTGCCGTCTTTGAACCAACGAAACCAATCTCTGCACGTTGTTTCCGATAAAGCACTGTCGCCATAGGCCTCTACAAGCATTCGATGCGATTTGACAGCTGATTTTTTCAAATTGAAGCAGAAAAGCAGAGCTTCCCGCATATGCTCTTTTTCTGGCAAAAAACTAGACACGATTACCAAAGGAAAAATGTATGTTGTTGTATGAAATTGCTGATGATGTGCACTGATTATTGTTGACAGATGTCAAACTCGTACAAAACAAAAGTGTGGCGTGGCCGTAATAACTTAATATGCTGACTAACGCAATATATGAGCAAACAGCGGATTTAAGCTTATACACCTGGCATAGTCCCGTTTTCTAGGGAAAATGTAGACCGCAGATTGAGCGAATTTTTTAAATAATTTTTTGGTTGCATCAACACATTACCCGGAGGTTACAGCGCAATGTTAAAAATGTTAAGTTAGTACAAAAAATGCGCTCATATATAATAGAATTTTTTGTAACTTTTAATGCTACTAGTCGAAATTTCTGTATTCACTTTATCCGTATTCATTTTATCTTAATTACACTTTGCAGGCGAGCCATTGGTTATAATAACATTCTTTAAGTCTCCTTTAAACTGGTTTTAATACATGTTGCATTGTTTTGCTGTTTATTTTAGTAATCAGTTGGATCTATAATCCGATACAAGCTCTTTTCTTTGGAGCGACTGTTGTGTGGAACACTTGATACTAATTCGCTCACCTTTTTTAAACTACCACAAAATTCCGCAGACCATATCGCATTAGTTATTGTTCAGAAAACATGTCTCTCGAAGAGGAACTTATGCAGCTCACTTCGTAAAGAATTGGATTCACTTTAACTTTTTCTCAAACTAATTCTGTAGAAAAGGATATTTTTCCCTAGTCGTAGGTTCACCTTTCAGGACTTTCCTAAAAATAATTGGGTTCTCGAGAAATGAACTATATATTCTTTTAATGTGGGTAGAGCACTTATTAAAAATAATGACGTATATTTTTTCAAACAGTAATCGATATTCTTAGCTGATTGATATCTCCCCTTTTCCAGCATCCTTTCAAATGAATTTGTTCAACAATACTAACTACTAAGCAAAGGGCTGTGACGAATTAAAGGAGAAAAGGGACAATTTATGCAGATACGTTAAGAATAACAGAATGAGCAATTATTAGTTCCTATACCTCTCGTTCTATTAACCTACATTTTCAAAAGGTTGCTTCATTTCTACTTTTCTCCGAGTATTATTTGTGATTTGCTATCGTCCGAAACGGGGTATACGTGTGTAATGGAGCACATTAGCAGGGGATTTGTCGCTTTCGGGTCCTTCCTTCTCTTTTTAGGTGACCATTCAGGGAAGGACGTTGAAAGAGTCGGTCAATTGGTTCGTGGGTGCGAAGTAAGGTAGAATAGGGGTTTTCGTGCTGGGAGTATAGGTGCAACGTATATGCTGTAGTTATGAACGTGCCAAGGTAACATCGATCTAGTTGCGCTTGGATGGCTGCCAAATGCCAAACACCAAACCAACCGAGTTGCCCGACTAAAGCAGTAGACTTCATCGAAGCTTTGTGTCCTTACTTAGCTTGTCATCGATTGAGCCTTCCGTCAAGTACTCATAACGTTTCCGAAATTAAAATAAGTCTAAAAAAGGCTGGGAAGTATCCTTGCTAAATGCTGTACATGTCCTTCCACAGTGATGTAAACATCATTCTCTCGATGTACATTTTTCGAGATTTTCTATCAAGCCTGATAGATTTATTGAAATATTTTTCGGAGGAAGACTTACCACTTAAATGCGTGAAGGTGATAGCGAACAGAGGCTCGTTAGGTTGTTTCGAAATGGCACTGATATCAACCTGAAACCGGACTTGTCTCTGAAACACGGCCGGTGTCGTGCTTCCTCTTTTATATTCCACCCTGAAGGACATCGGAGAGCTTACACTGTGCGAAAGTTCAGCAATCTACAATTGAGATGCACGTGTCATTAACGAGTACCGCGTGGAAAAGAAATTAAAAGTATTAACCCTTTGAGTGCTGTCGACGCATATGTGCGTCCGACGTTTGGTCGAATATCGCTAGCACGCCCTGACGAAATTCGCCCATACGCCGAAAGTACTTAGCACCCAAAGGGTTAAGAGAAATATTTTCATCCGAAAGCGGCAGTTCTTTTGAAATTATTCATGCGTAACGAATGTTCTTTCACCGCAAAATCGATTGGGTATGTGCAGTAAAATACGGAAATGGTATTCGATGTTTAACACATGGAATAGTAACTTTACAAAGCGCAATGGGCATCATTTCCACGTCAATGAATGACCAAAAATTCTCCCTCGTATTTCCATATTTTTTCCCCGAAGCGATATGCATTTACAATACCGAATGAATAAAAATAGATTGCGTACCAAAAACGGCAGAGCTGAAAATGCTTTTTCTTTTAAAGCAGCCGAAATACTTTACTTAAAAGCTTTTCGGTAAAGTTATATCTAATTTGTACCTCGTTTGGTTACAGATCTACCCTACTCATGTAATAGAATTTCAAGTACACCTAATTAATAAAACGCTTTCGATCAAATTGGCTGTAAGGACTCTTTCTACAAACGGAAAGCATATATGTAGAAAAGATTAGAGATTTCTCAGTATGAGGGAGATTTAAATGTTTTTAATGCGTCATCGATGCATTACCGAAACTCTTGAAGGCATTAAATTTGGAACAGATAATTTACTTCCTAGTATTTTATAATCTGTCTGCGCTGCTAATTAAATATTTGTCTATCCCTAAGAAAAAATGAAAAAGATGAAAAAAAAATGAAAAAAAATGGTGAAGTAATTGCCACTTACCGACAAAAAGGCGTGAATTAAATCTGCCTTGACGCTGGCCAAAGGTTTGCCTTTCACCAGAACCGTAAAAGTCTCGTCCTTCTCCGTAGTCATGAGGCTACCGAACCAGGACTTCTTTGTGAGCTCGGGCGACGAGTCCGGTGTGAGGTGCACCTTAAACCCCGAACATAGATCGTCGGTTTAATCTTCCAAGGAAGCGCGAGGACCCTGGATTCAATCTTAAAGCACCTCCTACTCTACTCTGCTTCGCTTCCGCACTTTCCAGACATTACCTCTTCGGTGCTGGTGAGCAATTTGCGCCGATGAAATCTCGGGCTGCCCAGGAATGAATTCTTGATTGTGGTCAGTCTCGATCTCCAGTGATGAGCTCCGGATCCTGCTCCGGTGTGGGGTGAACCGGGTGGCGTTACCCCCACTGCAACCACTGGATAAGAATAAAGTAATAAAGTAAGCTAGCTAATTGGCCTTTAAAACAACAACGTGAATACATTTTCGTTTATAGCAATGAAGCGTTAATATTGTCAAATGCCTTGCACTCAGATTTATATAACACAGGTAAGTGAGAATATAAACCCATGGTTAAGGAAAGGTATAAAGGGTAAAATCACAATTGTTTAAAAAATCAATAAATGTCGAAAACACTCGTTTTGTGTTTAACTTCACGTAAATTTAGTCCTATTTCTTTTCAAAGCTGGGCTTGTCCGAACTATGTAACGTCGATTTCCATTTATAACCCTTTGAGACACTTATTATCACTCATAAAGTAACAATATTGTTTAAAATATCAACACCTATTGAAAACCCTCATTTGGAATTAAATTTCACATTAATTTAAACTTATTTTTCTTTAGAGCAGTGCTGGTTTAGCTGTTGCAGTATCGAGTTATATTTTTAGATTTAAATGTTTATTACCTCTTATAACATGGCATCGTAGCTATACTTAAAAGAGTCCGTAACTGTCGGCAACATTCGTTTTGTGATCTATTTTGAATAAAATCAACCTTATCTTTTTCACGGCAGTTCTTGTCTGGATATTGCAGCCTCGATCTACTTCAGTACACCTCAGAAATGCTTGGTAGAAACTTTCGTAGCCTTACAAGGGCAGGACTAAGGCCTCTTTTTTGAGGATCTCTTTCTTCAGTAAAGCTTAAAAGCTTAAGTTGAAATGACACACGTCGAAAAACTTGATCGACGTTGATAAAGAAGATTTTTCTAAATGCCTACGTTGCCGACGTTCGTTTTTATATTGATAGCTGTGCCGAATTATATTGGATATTGTACCAAATGATATACTCCACCTGTCGTTTTCGTACAATAAATATCAAGAAATCGAAGTACAAGTCCAGAAATCCTCTGAATTCATGCTTTCTGGGGCCCTAATTGATTACAGAGGGACATCCTGCGCCATCTGTGATTTCCAGGTGAATTAAATTTTCACTCCGAGATCTCGTATTCCCATCGTTTTAGCACAGAAGCGCATACAACACTTTTTTTGTCTTTATCCCGTTCAAATGCGAGTTTATCGATTACCAGAGTGTTCTAAGTTGTCGTAAAATTGTTCTGACCCTTTCGTTTCTCATATCAGAGCCTTCGATAATTGTATATTGATCGAAATATGGAGGGCTCGACGCCATTTTGGTTTTAGTCTGGGCTAAGTTAACAAATTTTCTCCAAAAATCCAAATTTTGAATGTGTCAGGACAATTCTTAGATGGTCAGGAGTGATGTGTCAAAGTTTCGGACAGTTGGTCTAATACCCTTAAAAAAAAGTGTTGTATTCGAATCGACTGATTTGAAGGGGGTTTCACTTCGCCTTAAGCACGCAAAAATGAGATAAGTTTGATTCGCTGCTGAATACCTCAGGTAGCTAGCTCCAACAAACGTACACCAGAAAGAGAAAAGAGACTGTAAGCGCTGCGAAACGGAAAAGCCGGAACTGCCTTAAGTGGGGCCTAGAAGTGATCTTGAAATTGATCTCATGTGTAGAGGAGCTTCCAGCTTTCGAGGGGGTCTTTTCCTGTACGCCTACACGAGGAACTCTTCGTCGACACGACGAGAAAAAGGGAGCGGCAAGGGACTTTTGTTCACGTGGTTCGACAAAGTGAACAAGGTGTACATCGCAGCGTACACCCAGCTCGGTGGATCTTTCAAACGGAGAAGCCCGAGCTTTCTGTCGTTAGCCTTTGTCACCGGAGGTGGTGTACATTTTTTAGCAGCCTGAAAGATAAAGCGCGGACGGCCGATGAATTTTCGAAAGCTCTAAGTCCGATCTGCATCCGGCTCGTTTTCGATGACGGTTTTAGGAATCTTCCTGGCATTGCAGTCGATAGGATCCAGGACGAACGGGTTCAGGAGTTCCTTCGGTTTCTCCAAATTTTAATTTCTCTAACTTCGCCATTTGAAGATCTCATGGAATGTCTTCTACATCACCTCCGGGTTAGGGCAAAGGTGATGAATTAATTCTAGGAGTTACAAAGGAGTACGCGAATGTTGTTGAAAATAAGCACAAAAAATACTGCTTAATCGCTTCGTTGTTCAAAGGAATCTTATTGAAGAAACTTTTCCACTCGGTGGTAAAGTAGTAGACTTTATCTTTTTCAATAAAAATTGAAGGAGTGAATGTGACAAAGGGTATTATAAACAGAATGGTATCTACTATGTATAGCAATGATGGCGTTGATAGGTATATTGAGATAAGTTTCGACTGTAGTTTACGATGCAAAAAAATCTGCCAAGAAATACGGGTTTCTTTGCTTTTAATTGTTAGTGATCGAGTGGGAGTTGAATCGGATACCACACAAAGTAATGGACGCTGCTCCTGGTGCAGGAAGAACTTCCCCGAACGTCGATTGACAAGCAATCTGGCGAGAGAATAGCAAGAGGAGAGTTTCTGATGAACATCCACTGATGGCAACTTGAGTTTATTGGCAAACACGGAGGTTCTTAGCGTAATTCGATAGGCCGGTATTGGATAACAGTCTTCGGGGAGAGGTCAGCTTAAGTGCTAGATCAATGTGGCCTATCCCACGTGACGCAGTGCTAAGTAACCAAAATGTGCTTATGCTTTCTTCACATTATGAGCAGCCATATTAGCGCGACTTCATCCTTCTCCTAATTTACGTCTAGCTTCCAGTGAATTTGTTGAAAGAAATTTGCTTTATAACGTATCCCACAAAAGCCGGTTAATTATTAGATTAATAAAAAAGGTCGCAACATTATTGTATTTCTTGTGAATCATAAGCGCCTCAGGTTTTATCTTTGAGTTTCATTTTAATTGCACCAGGTTCATCGATCGGCTTGAAAATAGTAATGACGTAAATGAATTAGAGCTTTCGGCCTCAATCTTCACTTTCTAGCTTCGAGTAGAGAATTTCTAAAATTGCTCAAGTTTAATTCATCGTTCACATTATAGATGAAGAAATTCGGCTAATTATTAATTAATAAAAATGATTTCGAAATAACTGCACCCCTTCTAAACTATTTGCGCGTTATGTGTCATCTTTAAATTTCATTTGAATTACGTTAGGTTTACTGATTAGGTACAAAATAGTAATAAAATTAATGAATCGGAACGTTTGGCCTTGACATACACTTTCTTGCTTCATGTATCGTTGAATCATCTGATTGGAGTGATGCAGCCTGAAGCACATTTAAACAACATTCGACCATGGACGCTTCCTCGAAAAAGTGTCCTGCATGTGGTCAAAAAATAGTTAAAGAAAGGACTTGGGATTTATGGCCCCGACCAGGGAGGTTTTCAAGTAGTCACTTTAGGATCTGCCATGGCGACGCACCTCCAGGGGGTATCGTATGGCTAACAGACATCGCGGACTTTCTTCAGGATTCGAAGAAGTCTGTATCGTCTTAAACAAGCGAACCTTTCGGAAGTGTTAAGCTAAAATCAGCCAATCAGGGTTTAGGATTCGAAGAAGTTTGTATCGTTTTAAAAAAGCGAACCTTTTGGAAGTGTTAACCTAAAATCAGCTAACCAGGGTTCAGCATTCCTTCAGCACACGTTTTGGAAGTGTTAACCTAAAATCAGCCAATCAGGGTTCAAGATTCGAAGAAGTCTGTATCGTCTTAAAGAAGCAAACCTTTTGGAAGTGGTAACCTAAAATCAGCCAATCAGGATTCAGCATTCCAAGTGCATCCCTTCCTAGGTGTCGACCGAGGAAAGGGAAGAAAGTGCATCGAGAATGCAACTTTCCATTTTTTTTTAAGATTTTAGACTCAACTAGGACTGTTGAACCATCTGATTGGAGTGAGGCGGACTGAAGAACATTTGAGCAACATTTGGCCATGGACAATGCGAGGTACTCTTTCTCGAAGGAGGGTCCTGCACGTGATCAGAAAATAGTTAAAGAAAGGATTCGGAATTTATGACCCCGATCAGGGGGGCTTCAAAGTGGTCACTTCGAGGTCTGCCATGGCGACGCATTTCCAAAGGGTATCGTATGGCTAAGAGACATCGTGAACTTTCTTCAGGATTCGAGGAAGTCTGTGCCGTTCTGGAGAAACGAACCTTTGGGAAATCCTATCCTAAAGTTAGCCAATAAGGGCTCAGCATTCCAAGTGCATCCCTTTCTAGGTTTCGAGAGAGGAAAGGGAAGAAAGTGCATCGAGAATGCAACTTTCCATATTTTTTAGGATTCAGACTCAACTGGGACTTCGAACAATTCGGATGTCGTGTTTCCGCCTTGGGACTTAGTGGGTAATCCGGACACGCGATTGTACTGCGAATTTACTTCAACAAATTGTATTCGCAATCCATTATTTTACGAGTATAATAAATTGTTATTGTCGTTTTATTTAAATTTGTGCGTGGTGCAAATTCTCAAACTCTGAATTTACCCGCCAAGAACTCATATCAGCGCTCATTCTCAAAGAGCGCACACATGTATAGATCTTCTAAAGCTGAAGCTGAACTCTTCGTTTACGTTATAGATGCGCCCGGCATTTATAAGTCCTGACGTCGCGGCGAACACGGGTGCGTGAGTAGCTTGAAGGATCGATTAGCATATTAATCGAATGCATTTGACGATGATTGATTATGGCCTGAAGCTTGTCGGAACGGGACTGAATCATTGGCAGTCTCTCACGCGTTATTAAGATCTTGGCAAAGTGTTTATGGAGCGAAGTTCCATTCGCTATGCTGTCAACCTATTAATGGCTGATAATTTGATCCGATGTATTGACTTTTCAGAGAGATGCCTTCTCATCGGGCATGCTTCAATCTCGGATTTAATTGTAAGGTGTACCGCGCCTATTACTGGATTCCTGTTATTTTAAATCAGTCCGAAATTCATGACATAATCGCTGTAATATTGAACGCGCTTCATCTAGGGGAAATAATCGGAGCGAGCCACTACAGGAATTTCTAGGGTTCCTAAGATGCAATTTAGGACCAATTCTGGACATAGTACTGGCAAGGTTCGATGCTGTTCACAGTTTTAGAGAGGTCAATTCAACTAAAATTAGTCAGTTCTGTGTATAATTTATGCGGTAATGAACAGAATTTAAATCGCAGTTATGGAATTCCAGTTTCTTTCTAAAGAAAGAAGGGACCAATTCTGGACATACTACTGTCAAAGTTCGCTGCTGTTCACAATTTTAGAGAGGTCAATTCAATTAAAATCAGTCAGTTCTGTGTACAATTTATGCGTTAATGAGTAGAATTTAAATCGCACTTATGAAATTCCAGTTTCTTTCTAAAGAAAGAAAGGACCAATTCTGGACATACTACTGGCAATGTTTAATGCTATTCACAGTTTTAGAGAGGTTAATTCAACTAAAATCAGTCAGTTCTGTGTACAATTTACGCGTTAATGAACAGAATTTAAATCGCAGTTATGAAATTCCAGTTTTATTCTTAAGAAAGAAGGGACCAATTCTGGACATACTACTGGCAATGTTTAATGCTGTTCACAGTTTTAGAGAGGTCAATTCAACTAAAATCAGCCAGTTCTGTGTACAATTTATGCGTTAATGAACAGAATTGAAATCGCACTTATGAAATTCCAGTTTCTTTCTAAAGAAAGAAAAGGACCAATTCTGGGCATACTACTGGCAAAGTTCGCTGCTGTTCACAATTTTAGAGAGGTCAATTCAATTAAAATCAGTCAGTCGTGTGTACAATTTATGCGTTAAGGGGATGTGAAAGTGGCATGCGAAAACTCAATCGTTCATAAAACTTTTCTACGAACTGGGTGTCTCAAATCGTTTCATACTTTAAAACGTGAATATGGAGACTATAAGGTAGGTCCTGAAACTCGCGAAATTTTATTTTTTATAAACTATTTTTAAAATGTCTATAAATAAATTTGAAAGGAATTGAAATTTCGCGAGTTTCAGGACCTTCCTTATAGTCATTCCATTCACGTTGTAAAGTCTCAAACTATTCGGTAACCCGAGTTGGGAGAAAAGTTTTATAAACAAAACCTCTTCGACGCCACTTTTACATCACCTTAATGAATAGAATTTAAATCGCACTTATGAAATTCCAGTTTCTTTCTAAAGAAAGTACGTCTATAAAATTTTGCCTTCAAATGCGTTTTTGAAACAAGTATTCCGAAGTCCAAAGCGATTATCATCTCGGCCTGAATCGCGTGACATCTTTTATGTGCTGCATATCTCGTCTGGATACGCCTTAAATAGTCAATCAGTTATAACTGGTCTTCTTTATAGTGATAATATCCTCTTCACCCGTAATGCTTTATTATCGACTACCCTGCGTCTCGTTCAATCACTTAGCCAAGCAGGTTATGATCTCGTGTCTCTCGTACCCTAGTGCATTAACTGAAAATTATAGCGTGGGATTTTTATTTATCTAGAGGCGTCATCGTTAAATTGCAAATTTTGCGAGCCGGGTAAACTCTGCAGTCATTGACAACGTGGCGATAACATATTGCAATGTTGAACGCATCAAATAAGAATGAACTACTCCAATCCAGTTCATCTTTACACGATTTAACATTTGTGTATGCTATAATTGGTTAAGATGGGAGAGAGATACAAAATATTTAATACTCTTCAAGAGAGGATGCCGATTGCCAAAATCATCGGTGCCTGTACATTTCACAAATTCCTATAATTGCCAAAATTACGTCTTTGTACTTTAGCCTTCCAAGTGATGCAATTTTACCGCTAACATTGATTCACTTAGCTTGATCTATATTCATCGGTAGAATAATTATAAGAAAAAAATATTACTCGATGAACGAAAAACATAATAAGGTTTTAGCCCTTAGACGATTGATTCCCAAACGTGGAGCACAATAACTCTTTTCTTTTAATCTTATCAGTTAAGGAAGCTTATTGACGCTGTGAAAATGTACATTCTTATGACAGGTACAGAAAAATATGAAACACAAACATATAAATATAGTTTAAGCGTGTCATTAACCATAGTACAATAAGTAACTATCCAGTAACCATTAGATACATGTTATCATTACGTATAAAAAAATTGTTTTTAAACATCAAAGCCATTTCTAAAACAATGCAATTTTTCATACTGTATCATAATACATCTCAAAAAGTCTTAGTTTCATATAGTTCATGTTTTGTACATATATTGATAGAATATATAGCTATACAAATGAGTACTGACAACTATATAAAAGCAAAATTACTAAACATTTTAGTTATCTATTCATTTTTTGTAAATTTTACTATACTGTGAAAATGACATTTCAACATTATTGAACGTAATCGGAAATTAATGAAAATGACAGTTTCTGAACAGGTACTGAACGTGATCCTTCTTCTAAATACGGAGTATTCTGGAGTTACCGGTCTTATGACAATCGAAGATGTACATCAAAATACGGTTCTTTTGCATCATAATTCAAACCTATTTTATGTAAAATGATAAATAATTAAATCAATCAATATCTCCTTAAAAGTACGGCTAATAAAGCGTTTAAACAGTGTTTAAGTGTTATGTCCCAATTCTTTTCGGTATCTGTTTGAAAAACGGGTGGTTTTTACATCGTCAATAAGTCCCATTAATATAATTGTTTCTCTGAAATATAAGGGTTCAATTAATTTCACTTATTTCTAGGAATAATAATCATGGAAAACAAGTGATTACCCTGTGGATGAACCACAGGATCGGAGAGCGTTTACCCTCGGACGACCATGACATCCATGATTAAGGGGGGATTCTCATGTAACATTAAAAAAATCAATTTTCTTTTTTTTTTATAAATTGATGGTACAACACAAATGTAAAAATATCCTAATAAACTGTAAAGATAACCTGCCAACACATGTTAATAATCTTCAGTTATAAAATGGGTGCTACCGAAATCGCAACGTTTTGTTACCCAATGACTCAATTTTTACAGAAAAAATAAAATATAGAGAAATAGATAAAAGATTGAATTGAGACTGAGGCCACTCTTGAAGGTGCTTTTTTCACAATTACATTTTTCAAACTAGCGGGCAGGATATCTGAAAAACTAATCAACTGATCAACTTCACACGAAGCTCATTCAATTCCTAATACATTTCTCCACAGGATGAACCTCTAATACTAATAGTATTATTTATTTACAACGTTTTTATCGGTATCTTAAAGCCGATTTTTTCCTGAAAAGTGTTCATCATTTTTATTTCAAATGCAAAAAGTTTATGAATTTTATAAATACTCTCGTAGAAATAGGTTCTAACTCAGCGTAAACTTTACAGCTTTATGAAAATATTTTATTTTTGGCATTCTGATGAACGTGACAGGTGCTACATCGCCGGCTGATACTGCTGCCGGAAGTGGCTAATATAATTATATCTTGTTTGGAAATACATAAAGACAATTCAAAGAGAAATATATCTCTTTAAACTTTAATGATGCCTCTTCATATAAAAAAAAAAATTATTCAATAATAGTTTTTTTATAAAATAGTCATGAAAACTGCTGTTTTTTTAGCCGTGTTACACGAGAATCCCCCTTAAGGTCTTCACCGTATGTGTCGGTGATGCGATGACGTACAACTTACCAGGTTGAACTTCGTTCAACTCTATCCCAACATTAGTTAGGGGTGGTACGGGAGCTGGAACACCCTGAGTGGGGCTGCCATTTCCACTCGTGGTGCTAATGGTGGACAGCCTGTGAGGGCTTCCAGTCTGGCAAAGGTGAGAACTCGGCACGGCCCTGTGAGGACTCAGAAGACTCGCGACATTTGGTGCATGAAGAGGAGATCCACCTGGGGTCGAGGCCTGGGAGTGAGACGCGTGTGTATGGGATCCCGTGCTCGGGGAGCGCCTTGCATGGTGTCTCGCGCTGTAATCAGATACGAGCATTTTATTGTATTTTCTACACGGGAATTCCGAATAGCACAGTTTATCGGATGACTTTAGATTTTTCGCCCTTAAGGTGAAGTGAAACACGTCGAGGAACTTGATCGACGTCGATAAAGAAGATTTTTCCAAATGCCTACGTTGGCGACGTTCGTTTTTATATTGATAGCTGTGTAGAATTATATTGGATTTGTACCAAATGGCATCCTCCACCTGTCGTTTTCGTGCAATAAATATAAAAAAATCGAAGTAAAACTCTAGAAATCCTCTGGATTCATGCTTTGTGGGGCTCTAATTGACAGCAAAGGGACCTCCTTCGCCATCTGTGATTTCCAGGTCAATTAAATTTTCACTCCGAGACCTTGTCGCTTTAGCATAGAAGCGCATACAACTCTTTTTTTGCAATTATCCCGTTCAAATGTGAGTTTATCGATTACCAGAGTGTTCTAAATTGTCGTAAAGTTGTCCTGACCCTTTCGTTTCTCATATCAGAGCCTTCGATAATTGTATATTGATCGAAATATGAGAGCTCGACGCCATTTCGGTTCTGGTCTGGGCTAAGTTAAAAAATTTTTTCCAAAAATCAAAATGTTGAACGTGTCAGGACAATTCTTACATGATCAGGAGTGACGTGTCAAACTTTCGGCCAGTTTGGTTTAATACCCTCAAAAAAAAAGGGTTATATTCGAATCGACTGATTTGAAGGGGGTTACACTTCACCTTAAGGGTATTAGACCAAACTGTCCAAAACTTTGACACATCACTCCTGATCATCTAAGAATTGTCCTGACACATTCAAAATTTGGATTTTTGGAAAAAATTTGTTAACTTAGCCCAGACTAAAACCAAAATGGCGTCGAGCCCTCCATATTTCGATCAATATACAATTATCGAAGGCTCTGATATGAGAAACGAAAGGGTCAGAACAATTTTACGACAACTTAGAACACTCTGGTAATCGATAAACTCGCATTTGAACGGGATAAAGACAAAAAAAGTGTTGTATGCGCTTCTGTGCTAAAACGATGGGAATACGAGATCTCGGAGTGAACATTTAATTGACCTGGAAATCACAGATGGCGTAGGGGGTCCCTCTGCAGTTAATTAGGGCCCCAGAAAACATGAATTCAGAGGATTTCTGGACATTTACTTCGATTTCCTGATATTTATTGTACGAAAACAACAGGTGGAGTATGCCATTTGGTACAATATCCAATATAATTCGATACAGCTGTCAATATAAGAACGAACGTCGGCAACGTAGGTATATAGAAAAATCTTCTTTATCGACGTCGATCAAGTTCCTCGTCGTGTTTCACTTCACCTTAATTCAATTGAAATAGTGATCCTTAGGCGAAGACATCAGCCTGACGGTTCTTCTAAAATTATATTACGCTTAATTATCATCTTTATTTCTTCATTATTTCGTTAGCTTTGGACGAGATGACGAGGAACTGCAGTCAACATATGGAGAACGCGATATGAATTAAATACGACCACTTACTAATTGAATTACGCTTCATTCGATGTGATACTTGAAACTATACACCCGTATGTATTTTTCTTTATTTCGGTAAAACTTAAAATAATATGAACCTTTAAGTTTAACAATTTGACCATTTTCACAAGGAAATGTGAAGAAGTTTTGCAATGTTACAACCTACAATAGGTTTTCTAGGAACCATTACAAAGTTAAAAAGTTACGGTACTCGTGGAGTTAATACCCGTACACGTCTTAAAATGATAAAAATCATAAGTATCGCTAAAATTCCCAGTCATGAATTTTCAACATTCTTGGCACGCTACAAGAACGAATTATAGATTTTTTGTTTAGTATCATCAAGTTTTGTTGCATTACTTCGATCTTTGTCGTCGTTTACCGTTTCTATTTTGTATAACGATGTCTTGAGATCGTTTAAAATGTTTAAGATGAGATCTAACGATCCTAATGAAATAATTACAAGTTTCAATGAATGTTCCCTGGTACTATCGATTATTATAGAAAGGTTGAGGGAGGAACATAAAGACTTTCTCTGTAAAATGAGAACTCTCAATTTTTTTTATAGGAAGAAGAATTTTTGCTGTTCCTCCAGGGGTAGCCAACAGTCTGGACAAGGGTTGTACATGCCACGAGCGTGCGTTGGTAAATTGTAGGTAATTATCCGTTTTCCTAACGCGTGGTAAGAGGCGAAAAGGGAACGGGGGGACGAGACACGTGGTTTGATGCACGCGAGATCTTAAGAAGCTTTGTGTCACGCGAGCAAGCGTTGCTGCACATTTACCCTTACCTACGCATGTACTTATCGTCTAATAAACAACACGAATTTAGATTCCATTGACAGCGGTACATTCCCGAGCCAATTTAAATTGTCGTATTCCAAGCGCAAGAATCACTTAAAAAAGAAAAAAAACTTCGTTAAAGCAGGATTAATTTGAACGGGTACGCTGATGACTTAGAAGCATGGATGAAAAATAAATGCAGCCAGTAGACTATGTAGATTTTGAATGCCGTTATAATTTTTCAATAATTAGCAGTTTAATTAATACGTTGAATTGATCGTTGATGCGACTGTAAATAAGGGTATACCGAAGCTTCGGTAGACTGTGCATGGATTAAAAATACCTCTAAACTTGTCACCAATACCCGATTTCATTACTTTTACAGATAAGCTTTTCTTCTTTGAATATTCTTGCAGCACTGAAATAACATTTGATTTATTACCTAGGATTAGACTTTAATAGTGTTTTTTCTTATGTATGTGGCACATACCCACGACCTTCTTAATGTGTCATTCTATTACCGTCAAATGTTGAACATGAACAAACCTTTGAGGTTTATTGTAAAAATATTTTCCTTAGCCAGTATCTTTTAAGATTTCGTTAGTATCGTTTCCTTTACGATTATAATCATGCAACAAACTGATCGTTTTTTTTATACCGAAGATCTGATTAGATGTCTGCAAGTATGGGTATTTAGTGTTTGTTATGTTTAGGAAGGGACCACGTTTGCAAAAGGATGTAAAAACCGTTTAAAGAGGGTCCATTTCAAGGAAAGCATACAAGGAGAAGGAAACTCTTTACCTTGACTGCCTCCTAGGGGTCAGGGGTGAACCGTGGCTGATTTGACCAAGATTTAGAGCAGTGCTTCCGTTGACTCGACAAGTGTCTACCCTCTTTCTCGGTGGGTCAGCTTCCGGTTGTCCCGTGGATCCTCTTATCCCTCCCCTCATCACCTCGAGCTCGTCTTCGCAGGCAGGTCTTCTTCTTTTCCTCTCCAGGAGGAGGAAATAAATGACCTTCTCCGTATTGTGGCTAGTTTAAAAAGGTACACTTAGAATGTATGTACAGAATACTGTTACATATCTCACATATCTCTTGTAAAGACAACGTGATGATATCAAAACATCATTATCAACTCTGTCTGCGATGACCAAGGGGGTATTCACTCAAAAAATTATGTACTTTAACGCTCGAAATCATGTGCAAGTCCCTGGAAATCTCCGAAACACTCGCAATTTTAAGGCCGAACATCACTTGTTACCGAATCACATTGTTGTCTATCATCTGAAATCAAAGGCAATCTGCTCTCAAAGAAGGAAATCGTTTTCCCTGATTTCCAAGTGAATAGCCCCTCGGCGATGACAGCTTTTGTAAATGGTATGTACGCAGATGTAAGTAATACCGATGATACATCAAATTAATGAAATGATTCCGGCACCGGCAGGTAACCAGGATACCCTGATAATGCCACAACAAAATCGATTGAATTAATCTTAAATTTTCTTGCAAATTATTCTAACTCCGAGCGGAGGGCTTTTCTAATCGCGACATGTATAAGATAACGTTACGTTTGCGAACGCTCACTTCGGACTAAGAAGCTCTTGTATGAGTTTGTCACGTTCCTTGAAACACCCTAAACTGGCGATGGCTTGCAACACGTCAGGATCAATTGCGTCTACGGACGGAATGACGTGTGTTTGCACTACGTCCATCATCGAGAGCTCCAGTTCCAATTCACCCTTCCCAGCTGCGGTTACCCATATATGCCTGTTGATTTCTGCCAGCTAAAAATATCGTTCGGGTATAAAAAGATGCACTCATCTCAGAGATTTGTTTCGAGATCATGACAAACGAAATGAATCAATTTATCACGACCATAGCCTAGGTGGCATGTCAGTCTAAACAGTCAAAATATGGGTCATATTTTAGAATTTTGTATCTTGAAACAAATTATGTTCTTGAAGTATTCATTTTATTTTCATTAATTTTATAATGTAAAAATTAAGCGAGTGGTAGGCGTTGGCGTAGAGCGAGCCGAAAGCACACTTGACGATGAGGAACACAAAGTGAATATGGGCTTACCAAAAAAAAAAAAGGTCAGACTGATTCTTAGAAACTGATAGTAGAAGCTCTTTCTGTGGATCCAAAATATTAAACAAAAATTTATCCATGAAACTGCGGCTACTGAAAATTGACTTTTAAATTTTCCACAAAATGTTCGGTCTGTCTTCTATTATTATTTAATAAGGAATCATAAAACGTATAATACGTGATCATTAGACAGGGCTGAACGTATTTTAGAATTTTGTTTGGTAGTTTGAATTAAATCGGCTAACCAGTTTTCGAATTCTCATTCTCATTGACTTCAAAAACTGTTTTGAGAGAAACGAGTTTAAAGTTTGAGAACTAATCACCACGGAAATAGTAAATTGTCTTGCGGGTGCTTGCTAAAGAGGCTTGCGGCAATAAATATGCCGAAAATTTATTGTCAGTGTAAACGCAATATCAAATTGCTTCGACCACCATTAAAATAGTTCGTATATACGAGGATTGTTTGCTTATTTCAAATCCAAGTGACTTGCTTTGCTCGATTGCACCCTGCGCCTCTCTTCCATTTTAATTCTCAACCTCCGTCATTTTTCAAAACGTTGATTTTAAATTTTCAAATGATGTTCTCAAGACTTCACATTATCAAAAGGTATAATAAAAAGAAATCGATTTTTTTCATCGATCTAGACTGACGTACTCCCTTTAACCGCACTTACCGTCAGTCTCCTATCAGGGTTAACCTCTATCATCCCCCTAAGTAGACTCTGGCAATCAGGCGGCACGAAATGCGGTATATGAAACACCCCACGTTTTACTTTTTCCAAAAGTTGCCTGAGATTGTCGTCGTCGAAAGGTAGCGCTCCCACAAGGAGGGCGTAAAGGATCACTCCGCATGACCAGACGTCCGCTTTCCTCCCGTCGTATTTTTCACCCTGGAAATAGTGAAACCGATGAAATATTTCATAGAGCGAACATTGCTACGAAAAACATTTTAATAAAAATTCAAGATAGGGCACTATATTCCTGCCATAGAATCAAATGTATTTATTGTCTTTAATAAAGATGAGCTTTTACTGGCCCCAAGTACTTTTATTAGGGTGAACTAATTAAATGTACCTAAATTGAACATGCAATATCCCGTATGCATCATCGTACGCGATCCTTGTATCGACGGCAATAATGGATAGTAATGTCATTACGACACTAATGGCGCCGTAAGAGCGTTTATCGCGTTGTACAAAGCTCAGTAGCTTAACGCAATGTCGGATGTGAATTAATAGCCGTATGAACCGATTTCCCGAAGAGAAACTTCATTAGCAGTCGCTAACAAAGTGTAGCGCGTTCCGAAGTACGGAAACTCGTGTTTCTGAAAGCTCCGCGCGAGTTCTCGAGTAGCAAAGTGTACCATTCGTGAAATTGCTCGTTAAATCTTGCAACTTTTAACATCAATGGTTCAACATCTTTGACTCGGTGATTTTGGCATATGCTAATATTACATTTCTTACATGCTACATCTGTTCAAATTACTTTCAAGAACGATCCACAGATTCGTTTGATCAACGAAGTTCCTGATTGAATTCGATTTGTCTTGCATCATCGAGTCGTAATTTAAGGAATATATGTATGTTGTCCGATCTGAAAAGTAATGTCATGAATGTGCGTACTTTCTAACTTATTAGACAAATATCCACCAAGATGAGAGTGATTGAAGTTTCGTGCTTCAAATCCGAGTTTGCAAATGTCGGAAGCTCGATGGTTGCACTCTCTACAACTTTAAAGGTCGATTTACACACGTGTCTGATCCGTTTCAATCAGGTCAGCCTAGTTTCTAGACCGTTCCAGCAGCTTCAGACCGCGACTATTTAAGGTCGATATACACACGTCCGATCCGTTCCGCATCGCTTCAATTCATTATCCGGACCGATCCGGCAGCTTTAGGACGCGTCTCTAGGACAGTCTATACCTATCCGACAGGCATCTTGTGCTACATCAAGGCCCCGGCAAAGCATCAGTTTTGCGATCACCTTAAGGTGATGTGAAAGTGGCTGCACAGAGGTTTCATTTATGAAACTTTTCTCTGAACTGGGTGTATCGAATCGTTTCAAAGTTTACAGCGTGAATATGGAGGCTATAAGGATCGTCTTGACACCCATGGAATTTTAATTATTTAAAAATATGTTTATAAGTATTTCATAAATTTTTTATTAAAAACGAAATTTCATGGGTGTCAGGACCTTCCTTATATGTGACCTTCCTTACATGATTTCATTTTCATTTAGTTTACTGAAAATGCAAGAGTTAACTTTTCTCATTAAAAGCTCAAAGTCCTCGGAATGTATCAATTGCACCGAAACTTGAAACTGCATAAGATAGACTGGTTATTACATCTGATACAATTTAGACCTACGAATTTTGAAACTAACAGTCATTGGAAAAAGATGGAGAAAATAAAAACCATTAATTAATCCATAGTCTTGATTTTTTCTTTACGTAATTTAAAATCCATTAGAAACATAAATTCACTCAGCAGTATTGCATTCATAAAAAGTAGAATCTTAAATACTTAAAATTTAATGATACAATTTATAACGATAATTTATATAAAACTCTTTTTTTAGCGCCAAGGGCAAAGGTTGAAGAGAATATAATAAGAAGAATGGGATTGTTCAAAATAATGACGAAAAGTTTATTGTAACACGTTTAAGTATGATGCATTGTCATTTAATAAAAAGACGTCAAGTGATTCCTTACCGAGTACTACTTGGCGGGTCCGTCTTTTGTTGAAAAGAAATTTCTTTTAATGAGTTAAATATCCGTCTGTAGACAGGATGACCTTAAAAGTACAGCATTTTCGTTATCTTTAAGCTGTATTAACATAACTTCAAATCGTTGCAAATAGGTAGTACAGAGATATTAATTATCAAGTGCAAGCGCAACTCAAAAGACTGAAAAGGTGTGTTAGGATTCTGTGAGATGATAATTTATAAACAAGTTATCAAAGGTCAGTCTTAACAAATATCTGCTGAATTTCAGTATCGTGAAAGCTTTAGAACGGACCCTTCACGTAGTTCCCAATAAGGAATCATTTAACGTCTTTTTATTAGATGACAATTTAAATGTAAAGAAATAGCAGAAGCACAAAAAAGAGCGGAGGAGTTATCAAAATCTGTAAATATAGAAAAGAAAATAACGGAGAGATATCAGATCGTATAAGAAGCAGACAACTAGTGACTTGGCTTTGTAATATGATTGCAATACGTTTTGAATCTAGGAGAATTTAGAAACATAACGTAGAATTCATGCTGTAAGCTTGTACTCGGCGAGTACTATTACACAAAGTGTTTTTAGCGGGAATATTAATTTATTACGATGCGAATTGTTCCACCATATCCTAGAGAGCTTACTGGTTTAGCGTAATGTCAAATATGAATTAATAGTCGCACGAGGAAGTCTTTCGAAGAAGAACTTCATCAACAGTTGGTAGCAGAGCGCAGCGTGCCCTAAAGTGCGGAAATTTGCGGTTCCGGAAGTTCCACATGAGTTCTCCAGCAGGTAAGTATAGTGTTCGTGAAATTGCTCGTTAAACCTCGTAAGTTTTAGCATTAATCAGATTCGACGTTATTATGGGCTACGTGTTAGACTTTATTATACGTTACTTATAAGATGTGTCGTTACATCGGAATATAACATCCGAATGGAGGAAGCGTTTCGGTGATAACGGATGGAGAGTTTCGGAGGACGAAGTTTCGAACTTCATTTGAACTTGTCTTGTATTATCAAGGGGCAATTCGAAAGATACATATAATGCAGTTTGATCCGGATGCAGTGACAGGTACGTACACGCCTTCCTCGTTTATCAGACACGACGTCGTACAAGTTAGAAAGGATTGAAGTTTCGAGCCTCGACCTAGAGTTCGCACATCTCGGAAGCTCTATGTACTCTATGTACGTCCTTACCCTAATGACTTCAGGGCAGGCGTAGTGAGGAGAACCGCAACTTGTCTCCAACATGGATCCAGCAGGCTGCAGGGATGCCATTCCGAAATCCGCTATTTTTATGTTGTTCTTCTCATCCAACAGCAGGTTTTCAGGTTTCAAATCTCTATGACTAAAATATGAATAGAAAACACGATGACATTGACGCATTTCACAGATAAATTAAATCATTTCTCAATAAAATCCTCCTATACAGGATGTGAAATTTGAAGGAAAAAATGATTCATTTAACCCTCCGTAACCCAATTTTTATTCAAATCAAGAAAGGTCTGAGTTAACGTACTATTTGCAAATAGTAACCTTCTGGTAGTATCCATTTGTTTTTAAATCTACAATCTATATAGATTTTTCTAAATTGAAATGTTTTTCAATTCATCATTTATAAACAAACCCCTTGGTTAGAAAGGGGCCGTACAATAGTGAGATGTTTTACAAAGTCTTGCCGGAAAAATAAGACTTAAAAAATATCGACATACGAATATGTGTCTTCAAAGTCACATGGCGTTATAGAGGGTTAATGTGATTTTTATGAAATTATCATTTAATACATTTTTAATTTAAGAGACTTTTCACTAATTTTTAATGAAGTAACACTTATATGTGTACATTTTCTTTTCTCGAATCGAAATTTTCGATCAGTGTTTCGGGTGAAGTAATTCAATTTGGTAAGTGAATAGGTAAGCGAAAGCTCGAAGCTTTCAAACAGTGATTTTCCATGCAGGTGCTCTTTAGGGAGATGTTCCTGTAGTGGGACTTGGTACGGAGAAGCTTTTGGTAAGCTCTTATGCAAATGGGCGGCGACACTAACGCGAGAAGAGCTCGTTCGTAATTTATCTACTAACAATGCTTATCGCGAGACGACCAAACGAGCCATTATGGCCAAAACAAATGGCTTTATGCGATTAATGACAATAGTTTTCAGCATACGATTCTCACCTACTTACTCTTGAAATGCAATCTAGTTTCTAACTTCGTGTTATTACTCTTTTGCCTCGATCAATTTTACGAACAACAAAGCTCACTACAGACAGATGAACCAAAGAGTGCTACGAATAACATAAATAGCTATAAATAATAAAACTAGATAAATACTGGTTAATGGTTAATGAATATTCTCATCTTCCTATCTATCACGGGAATATAAAACCGTGCAAAGTAAAAACCATTCAGGCCAACGAGAGATCTAAAAGTTAAAATATAAAACGTATTAAACCACTAAAAATGAATAATCTTATAGATTTAAACAATTTTAATCTACCGAGTATAATGTCCTATTTACGTCTGTTAGCAGAGGTGGATTTGATGGCATCCATTTGAAGTCCATGATTTGCAGAGCAAGGCAAATAATAGTTCATAATTCAAATCCACCAAGAACCGGAGTAGTTAAAAAAGAATTAATTTTGTTCTCGATGATCAAAGTACTTGTAGTTGTGATTGAAAATTACAAGGTAAGTAGGTGAATCGAAAAACTGGCCAATCGCTCAAACTGTCGAGGCGCCCCTGTTCCTCTTGACAACTTTGACCCTAGAAATTGTAACAGTTACCCTTCTCTCCGAAATTTCAACCCCTTAATGACGAAGAGGCTTCCGAGCGGTCACTTAAGCTCGGGAAACTCTAAAGCGAGAAATAATCTAATTACAGAGATCGACCGATCGCCGCCGGTAATGGTCCCCACCGAAAGCCAATTATTAGTCGATCTTCTCTCGCCTTTCGGCAGTTCCGATACAATTACTCCACCACGAAAAGCATAAAGAGCGAAATGGCTCGCGAAATTCACGTCCTGACGTCGTTAAAACTTTTCAACCAGCGTGGACCCAGGAAGACGAGCTTTCATCGAGAGCCCGCTTTCGTCGGAGTTAAGCTTCGTTAATTCGTGAGACATTTAATGGAGAATTCAGAATGCTGGGAAAGGTCAGAGAAAATAAAGAAGTCTTCCGTCAACGTTCGGGCAAACTGCAGATCCCCCGGATTAATTAGATTAAGGTGAAGTGAAACCCCCTTCAAATCAGTCGATTCGAATACTACTTTTTTTAAGGGCGTTTTTTTAACCAGCGTGGACCCAGGAAGACGAGCTTTCATCGAGAGCCCGCTTTCTTCGGAGTTAAGCTTCGTTAATTCGTGAGACATTTAATGGAGAATTCAGAATGCTGGGAAAGGTCAGAGAAAATAAAGAAGTTTTCCGTCAACGTTCGGGCAAACTGCAGATCCTCCGGATTAATTAGATTAAGGTGAAGTGAAACCCCCTTCAAATCAGTCGATTCGAATACAACACTTTTTTTAAGGGTATTAGACCAAACTGTCCGATACTTTGACACATCACTCCTGATCATCTAAGAATTGTCCTGACACATTCAAAATTTGGATTTTTGGAAAAAAATGTTTAACTTAGCCTAGACCAGAACCAAAATGGCGTCGAGCTCTCATATTTCAATCAATATACAATTATCGAAGGCTCTGATATGAGAAACGAAAGGGTCAGGAGAATTTTACGACAATTTAGAACACTCTGGTAATCGATAAACTCGCATTTGAACGAGATAAAGGTAAAAAAGTGTTGTATGCGCTCTATGCTAAAACGATGGGAATACGTGGTCTTGGCGTGAAAATTTAATTGAACTGGAAATCACAGATGGCGCAGGGTGTCCCCCTGCAGTTAATTAGGGCACCAGAAAGCATGAATCCAGAGGATTTCTGGAGTTTTACAGTGATTTCTTGATATTTATTGTACGAACACGACAGGTGGAGTATGCCAATTGGTACAATATCCAATATAATTCGACACAGCTGTCAATATAAAAACCAACGTCGGCAACGTAGGCATTTAGAAAAATCTTCTTTATTGACGTCGATCAAGTTACTCGACGTGTTTCACTTCACCTTAAATACTCATTTTAACTTATTCCAGGGGCTTAAGGCTCCCCAATCAATGCCGATTAGCAGATTTTGTAATGTATCGCATTTGTTACTCATATTTTCTGGAAATTGACCATTAAGTTCTTGACACGTATCACACATAACGGTACCCATAAGCATGACCTACCACATTGTCGAACGTAAGACGCCATTTTAAAACGCACGAGCATTCAAAAAATTCCACAAGCTTGACATTTTTATGGGTATGACACGAAATTGTATAAAGGTATCTTCTCATCCGCCGCTGAACATTCAATTTTAGGGTCAAATGGGTCACGTGACAGCAAAAGATGCTAGCTAGTTTGTAGTCATGTAAAGGGACGTAGGGTCTTTGTGCATCAAACTATCAAAAACCTTTCTGGACCAGTAAAGACATAAACCCACGCACTGTATTGTTTTGATCTTGCTCTAAAATAATACGATATGTCGTTCGCAAACAAATACTCTAAGTGCTTCAATGAGGATAGAATAATTATTTGTAAGAGAAAAATATTGAAGAGGGGAAAGAAAAATGGTAGCATTATTTACTTTGCTGGGATTCACAAAAGAAAAATGTGGCATTACAGTCAAAAGCATTAATGAATAGAATCGGCACTTCAATTACGTAATAAATATGGATTTTTACCATCACTTTGTTAGTCAACTTCCAAGTTTCAAAAAACTGCAATTCTTGCAGCATTAACGCTGAAGTTAGGAATACTGAACTTTCTTTTTTTTGACGCTAGTATCAAGGGAAAGTCACGTGACTACATATAACGCTAAAATGGAGTATCCACGAATTGGTACCTTAAAGATGTTATGAAAGGGACAACCCTTAGAATCATCTATATATATCAAAACATCGAAATATTTATAAAACTTTTCTTCAAACTGGGTGCACTGAATAATTAAAAATTTTAACACGTGATTGTGGAGACCTAATAAACCTAATAAAAGTCTTGAAACTCACGAAATTTAATTTTTGAACAAACCTTTTTTTGGTTCTTGTCCAGGATAAATACATAATATTTTGTCGAAAAATGTAATTTCACGAGTTTCAAGATCTTCATTAAGACCTCCATAATCACGTGTTAAAGTTTCAAATTACTCGGTGCACCCAGTTTGGAGGGAAGTGTTATAAATAGTTTGAATTTTCGATATATATGTATATATATATATGACACTTTCATAACACCTTAAACAGATACAACGTCAAGTATCGAAGTCGAGCCTACTTGAGTCCAAAGTTTCGAGGTTTTCACTAATTTAGTGTCAAGAGCGTCTGTTTACAGAAACTTTGCAATTAAAAATGATTGCCTGTTAGCGGGTCTCCTAGTCTTTGTCTCATTAAAAGCATCATATTTTGTATATTATTCTGCATAACTATTGTTGCACGTTGTGCACCTTAATTGCAAAATTGAAAGTGGTTCACGTTATATGTACCGATAGGAAATATTTTGGTTGCGTAGAATCGGAATTCTTACATTTTTCATAAGTAGCGCTCGCATCGTTAAATCAGCGATAATTCGTGATTTATAGGTCCCGAATTTAGGGCCATTTTCTATGGAATCAACTACAGTCGTTACGTCATGTAAGAGGGACTATTCACTCGGATATCAGTGAACACGATTTCCTTCTTTAACCCTTTTGGTGCCGGAGGCCGATATATCGGCCCTCGCTACACTGGCGAAAAGTGCCAGAGCCGATATATCGGCCCGCACCTTGTAGCGCTTTACTATTCGCTTTGCGAGAGATCTCTATGTTAACATAAATTTATAATACGTTATAAATAGTCTAATTTCATTACGAGAGAATTAAAATAACGATACAATAACACCTATAACAACCTATAACCTACCTATAACAACCTATAACCTATAACAATTACTTGTTTCGGATGAGATAATCCGTCCGGCGCCTACCATGTGCCTTGGAGTTATTTTTTATGTTTCTTGTGCAATATTACTTATTTTGTTAAAAAATATATTGTAAATTTAAAGTATATACTTTGCAATAAACGGTCTATATAAATTTATGATAAAAAGATGACTTTTCCTATGTGCAATTACGTTTTGAAACAGAGAACTCAATTTTTCTTTTTTTTTATCACTTATACCTTCTTATTTATGTCATTTTCAATGAATATAGAAAAATTAGCGTCACTGTTTTATTCTCCATTTTGTCCTTAATACCCTGCTTTTTGAATTATGTAAATATTGCTTTTCGTTTGGTTTTTATGAGCCTTTTTCCAAATCCTAGTAAAATCGTAAAATTCGGCCGGTTATCTTCGCATAAGCACCTCTTTTTCACCCGGCACTAAAAGGGTTAAGAACTGATTGTCTTTGATTTCATATGATAAATAACAATGCAACTCGGTAACAAGAAACAGTCGGTCTAAAAATTGTGGCAACGTTTTGGCGATTTCCAACTGATTTCCCCGTGATTTCGAGCATTAAAATCCATGATTTCCTGAGTGAATACCTCCTCGGTCGTGTACATATTATGTCCTTGAAATAGTGTTTTCTTTATCATACACCCCTAGTAGCACAAAATATTTGTCCTATATTTTCTATATATTTAACGTATATCGTACACTTAGTAAATATTTGGCAGACATTTGAAATATTTGCAAAACGTTTACTTTAGAATATTTTCCACCAGATATACAAAACATATCGTTTCAATTTAATACAAGTATTTTTTTTTTATATTTTCCGCCGAATACATTATAAATGTTTTAAAAATACTTAAAGAAAAATCACACGTTTTGCTTCCATAATGAAATAGCGGAACGAAAATACTAGAAAAATTTCTTGTGTTTTTTTCATACCAAATGAAGTATCCGATAATAGTGGTGAAGTAAAAAGTGTGTTTTTATTACGTGTTCATAGATTAAAAAAATATAATTCCTATATATGTGTATAAATAATTGAAACTAAACATGTCATTGAGATTTTCAATAAATATTTCAGATATCTTCGAATGAAATCAACAAGAAATCTTAAAAAATCTGTCGCTTGAGATATTTAGCAAAGATTAAAAAGAAATATTTAGAAATCATTCTATGCTACTAGGGACCATTGATGTCGTCAACTTTCAATTCAGGCGCTTATTACGTAGTTTGCTTACCGAAATGCGTTTCTGGGTCCGTGTATTTGGCTTACGTTAAAACCAGTTGTGGCCATGCTCATGGTTACTTTATACGAGGTACGTCCGAAGGCTTTCCCAGGATCGCCAAAATCTCTACGCCGAGACCAATTTAATACTTCGGACGATTACGTCAGGGTCGGTTGAAAATATTGTATATATCCGAAGAAAACGTGATATCTTCATTTCGCGTTATTCCGACCGAACGCATTGCTCGAACGTCGCGGAGATGACAGTCGAATGTGCAAGATTTCTAAAGAGCTTCCGAGTTCCAACGACGTCGGGATGTTCCGGTCTAGGGGAATTTCGCTTTTGGTGATTATCCGGGTCTCGGTTCCAGGTCTGCCGATAAGCGTGGGACGTTCTGACGCAGGGCGAGCCATGCAGGAGGTGCACGTGTATTCGCGCGACACATTAACCTCTGCGGCTTGCGATGCAACGGGCAATCGAGACACGCGGAGGACGGTCTGGATTCCAAATGGCATTCCCGCAACGTCGGCTAGTGTTGCCGGAATCCAAACCGCCCCCGTATTTATTCGATCGGGTCGGTTCCACCGAAGCAGTTTGCCAACTAGGCCTCGCCGGTCCCCTTGGCGAGCCGCTTTGTTTTACTTTCTTCCTCTGGAGAGGAGAAAACGAAGTCTTAAGGTGAAGTGAAACCCCCTTCAAATCAGTCGAATACGACACTTTTTTTCAAAGGTAAATGACCAAACTGTCCGAAACTTTGACACATCACTCCTGATCATCTAAGAATTGTCCTGACACATTTAAAATTTGGATTTTTGGAAAAAAATGTTTAACTTAGCCCAGAGCTAACCAAAATGGCGTCGAGCTCTCATATCTCGACCGATATACAATTATCGAAGGCTCTGATGTGAGAAACGAAAGGGTCAGGACAATTTTACGACAATTTAGAACACTCTGGTAATCGATAAACTCGCACTTGAACGAGATAAAGGTAAAGAAAGTGTTGTTTGAGCTTCCATGCTAAAATGATGGGAATACGAGGTCTTGGCGTGAAAATTTAATTGACCTGGAAATCACAGATGGCGCAGGGTGTCTCTCTGCAGTCAATTAGACCCCAGAAAGCATGAATTCAGAGGATTTCTGGAGTTTTACTTCGATTTCTTAATATTTATTGTACGAAAACGACCGATGCAGTATGCCCTTGGGTAGAATATCCAATATAATTCGATTTCGATCGAAATATAATTCGATACAGCTGTCAACATAAAAATGAACGTCGACAACGTAGGCATTTAGAAAAATCTTCTTTATCGACGTCGATCAAGTTCTTCGACGTGTTTCACTTCACCTTAATCATACAAATGTGGATCAATTTCTGAACGTACTCCAGGAAGAACGGAATATTAGTGAATTATCAATAACACAAATTCAATCGGGGTTTCAAAATGTTTAGCCAGAATATAAAAAATATCGAGATTACGAGACTCGATTCAATGAAATCGTTGTAACATGCGATGCAAAGGAAAATATCCATCTGTAATAACAAAGTCGTCAGCGGCCACATTTTCATTTTCAACCGAAATAATAGTACAACTCGTGAAAGCCAATTCGCGTACTATTATTTCTTTAAAAAACGCATAGTACACCGGACTCAAATAATAGTACAAATACTATAATAATAGAACGGTTGGTAATGTAAAGGCTGGAAACGTGAAGCGCCCCCCCTCCACTAAGGTGGCGCAGTGTTCCTAAACGGCCAACATAACCTAGTCTAATCTACCCCACCCAGATTACTGAACATTTGAAAGATTGAGCTGATTAAATAAATTACGGATTTAGAAATAACTTCCTGTTTTGTACTCATTTCGTCAAGTGAATTTTCGTTAGATATTTTGGCGTGGATGTTTTGATACTGGACATTTTGTTGCATGTGTAGGAGGCTAGGAGGCGAATCTACTATTGACATGAAGGAAATATTTCGAAGAAGCAAGGCAAAATGATCGGAGGTCCATGGGCGGCCCTATTCCCAGAATCATGGGCGAGGAAAGGCGAGCATGTTTAGAAGATATGAGCATGGCCTAAACAATTGATACGACTAGACCAAGTGCCGTCCTGTCCAGGCAAAATGATCGGAGGTCCATGGGCGGACCTATTCCCAGAATCATGGGCGAGGAAAGGCGAGTATGTTTAGAAGATATCAGCATGACCTAAACAATTGATACGACTAGACCAAGTGCCGTCCCGTCCAGGCAAAATGATCGGAGGTCCATGGGCGGCCCTGTTCCCAGAATCATGGGCGAGGAAAGGCGAGCATATTTAGAAGATATGAGCATGGCCTAAACAACTGATACGACTAGACCAAGACGGTCCCTGCGAACAGTGGACGGGACGGCACTTGGTCGAGGATCGCAGAACGGAACGCACGAAACTATTCTATATACGTCTTCTTTAACAATAAGTCAAATAACTATACCTGTGAATCTACGGAAAATATAAACTTGTCAATAGTAGATTCGCCTTTCGGTAATTTCACCTCCTACAGACAAGACTGTATTTTCCGTAGCTTCACAGGTAATTAATTGGCTTATTGTTAAAACTGATATGCGTAAACCTCAAGAAGACGTATCGAAATTGGTCCAACTATTCGCTTCTATGATCCTTGACCAAGTGCCGTTCCGTCCACTGTTCGTAGGGACAGTCTTGGTCTAGCCGTATCAGTTGTTTAGGCAATGATCACGTCTTCTCGCAAACAATGCTCGCGTTTTCTCGCCCATGATTCATGGAGTGGGCCCGCCCATTGCCCTTCGATCATTTTGCCTTTGTCCCTTTGAATTATTTCCTTCACATGGATATTTTATTGCACGAATGATCGTTGTCGGACACATTTTGTCGCATAGATATTTTGTCGTACGGATTGAAGGAAATATTTCGAAGAGGCAAGGCAAATTATCGGAGGTCCATGGGCGGCCCTGTTCCCAGAATCATGGGCGAGGAAAGGCGAGCATATTTAGAAGATATGAGCATGGCCTAAACAATTGATACGGCTAGACCAAGACGGTCCCTGCGAACAGTGGACGGGACGGCACTTGGTCGAGAATCATAGAAGGGAACAGTTGGACCAATTTCTACACGAGGCTTACATATATAATTTTTAACGATTAATAATCTGTGAATCTACGAAAATATAGACTTGTCAATAGTAGGTTCGCCTTCGTTAATTTCACCTCCTACACTTCACAGATAATTAATTGGCTTATTGTTAAAACTGATATGCGTAAACCTCAAGAAGACTTGTCGAAATTGGTCCAACTATTCGCTTCTATGATCCTTGACCAAGTGCCGTTCCGTCCACTGTTCGTAGGGACAGTCTTGGTCTAGCCGTATCAGTTGTTTAGGCAATGATCACGTCTTCTCGCCCAAACAATGCTCGCGTTTTCTCGCCCATGATTCATGGAATGGGCCCGCCCATGGACCTCCGATCATTTTGCCTTTGTCCCTTTGAATTATTTCCTTCACGTGGATATTTTATTGTACGAATGATCGTTGTCGGACACATTTTGTCGCATAGATATTTTGTCGTACCGATGAATTGTCGTTGGACATTTTGTCATGGATATTTTATTATCGGGCAACAAGAATGACAGCGATCTTAGGCCGACCGTCCTCCTCCGAGAGATCGCGAGGGAGGACGTATCTCGGGAGGGACATTTTTTCCTTCCCCCTCCCTGGAAGGCACTTACCATATACTATGGCTGTGGCAAAAGTCTAACGCGGAAATGATTTGTCGAAAAAACCTCCTGGCTTCCTTCGGGGTCAGCCTGCCCTTCTTCACTAGGTAGTCGAAAAGCTCGCCTCCCGACACGTGTTCCAGAACAAGATACCTGAAACGAAACGCCCGGATCAATGATCATCGTCCTTTGACGTCCCTGTAACTCACTTCTGGATTTGCCGACGTTCTTCGCCCACTTGACTTAATTAACTCAACTTTTCGACTAACTCTCGAGGAATTCCGAGTAAAAGTCAAACTCCTAAGTGTTATTACAATTTCACTACTCGAGCTCGGTTATTAAGCGTTTCACGCTAATTTTAAGTGTAGCGAAGAAAGTTCATTTACCAAGGATGGAATGCCATTGCAAGGCGAAACGGTTTGTACCTTCAGATAACAAAAACAATGAGATTTAGGTGAATTTGATATCCCCGATATTATACAAAATGTATGAAATGAAAGCATCGAAGTTATGTAAGAGGGTATAAATCCTTCCTTCCGTCTTGTAAAACGTATTATTAATGTCAATGTAACTCGATTCAAGATACCGCTATCTGTAGCACACAACGTGCGGCATAAGATAAATTATTTAAAAAATATTATACATGCTTCTATATCTCCACACATATATAATATACATAGATTCACAGAAAATATTTTGCTACCGAGTTTCATTACCCGAGACGAAAATGTCTACCTCATATAAACCTCATGGATGCATGTGAGGATTTTGAATATAAAACGTAAATTTAAGGAAGAAGATGTTAATGAAATCAGTCTCACTTGAATCTCGATTATACTACCTTGATACCTCAAATATACACAAACAGCACAACTGTGACAAAAAGATGCCTAAAAGATGACCGATTTTCCGAAAAGTTATCTTTTAGTTATGGCATACAGGTGAAAAGTAGAAAACCAAAAGATGACTTATGCCCTGGGTTTTCACATCTTTTAGTCAAGGCCATTCGTCATCTTTTGGTCAAGACTAAAAATGCCAAAATTCAGACACCTTTTCGCTGACATATTCAATACTTTTTCGTACAATTTCTTTTTCAGAGCGTAATTTTCGATAAACTCTCTTTCTTCGTATCACCCTCTCTTTACAACGGGAAAATTATCTCTTGATGTGGGGAATTGACATTTGAAGCAGCGAAGAGAAATGTCATTTTTTAAACGTTAAAACCTGTAATCCTAACCAATGACTTTGTAACTATTACTAAAATTATAGTAAGTGTAACTCGAAATTGCCAACTGGAGGCACAACATTATATTGACATTACAAATTTCTTTCGGGGTACCAATAGCAAGGTAAGAACTATATAAATTTAAATTATTAAGCTAAATAGAGTAGCAACAGATAAAGACCCTTCCATGTCGGAAATTGAGTTTATCTTTTTATAAAAACGTAAAGCTTTCATTTTTAAATTATATTCGTACATAAAATTACATCTAAACGAAATGGCGTTGATGCTGCCACCTTCCACTGATTTTCTGACATCTTATAGATAACTTTTCACTTCCTTTGTCAGTCATCATTCATACGTCTCGTCGGCTTTTCGTCATCTTTACAGTAGATGTCCTGTCTGGGTATTTGCAGTAATTCAGAGAGAGATTAATGACCGCCTGAGATGCACCATCATTCAACATTAAACACTAAATTACATTGCTGTGGTCGACAGTCATTACTTGTACCCACGGAGATGCCCAGTAAACAATCTTAGTAACGATTTCATACATATTGCTGTTGCAATTTGTGTTCGGAGTTTTGAAGAGCATTTGAAATTTGTCGTGTGCACCCGTGGGATAAGATATCTCAATCATGTAAGCTGATACGATTCCGTTTTCTAGGAAATAGCGTTTATATTGTCCATGTTTACGTCATCTTTACTTCACTTAATCATATTGTCAAGCAAAAATCTGATTTTAAGTGCGCCATATTGCTCAAACAAATGAATTAGTTGGATCACTTTTAACGACGATAGATATAGAGATAGATGATAAGGTGTTGTCTTACATCATATAATGATTGTGATTTCTTTTTTATTTCAAGATGCCAATAAAGTATATTCGTTAACTGCGCACCTTTAGAGATAACTGGTTTTAAAAATAATTTAAATGTGCTATTAAGCGTGGCACCCTGTTAATTGTAAGGAGAAAAGCTTCTGGAAATGTGACGAAGACCTCTTCGGTAAACGAGACGGAACTTGTTTTTCACATTAAGAAGCTGTCAAAATTAAGTTTCGCGTCTTTGAAATGATATTCGAACCATTCCTGAGTGATGCAATTTACTCATAGAGGACGGTCCATCTGGCCCTTATATTATAAATTAGTTGAATCACTAACAAGGAAACATTCCCAAGTGTCCGCCGCCGATCTTATTGATTTTCATATATGTTGAAGAACAAAAATCTAAGAGACATGTTTTTTTTTATCTACTTTGACCCACATTTTAAGGATGAAAGAACCCCCCAAAGTTTGGCGAAAATTCGATTTTTATATTAATTTTCGTAGAAGCAGGGGGGGGGGGATTTCGACGAAACTTGGCATAAACGTATTCTGTATAAGGACGGTGAAAACACAATATTGTCCAGGAATACTACACCACCTCAAGGGGGTGAACTGCCCTTCGGGCGACATTTTTTTGTAACATCTATTAAACAAGCATTCCTACTTAAGTCCCACTTACGCCATGTGATTGCTCACAAAAAAATGAAAAAATGCGTGTTTTTTGCTTTTTGCCAATAAAAACACTTACACATCGGTTGTAAACAATGAATGTAGGTGGTATACGGGTATATTCCGACCAGCTTTATTGAGTTATATCGTCACCAATTCATTGTACATAAATCGTGTGAACGTGCTAATTCACCAAAATGTCGTTGGTCTTCATAACATGCAATTATTTATAAACAAATTTAAAAAACAGTTTAAGAGACTAAAATTGTTTCGCAACAGACTCGATGACGATATAACCCAATAAAGATAGTCGGGATATACCCATATACCACCTACATCTATTGTTTTCAACGGATGTATAAATATTTATTGGCAAAAAGCAAAAAAGTACGTATTTCCTCATTTTTCGTGAGCAATCACATGGCGTAAGTGGAACTTAAGTAGGAATACTTGTTTAATAGATGTTACAAAAAAATGTCGCCCGAAGGGTAGTTCATCCCTTTGAGGTGGTGTAGCATTTCTGGATAATATTGTGTTTTCACCGTCCTTATACAGAATACGTTTATGCCAAGTTTCGTCGAAATCCCACCCCTGCTTCTACGAAAATTAATATAAAAACCGAATTTTCGTCAAACTTTGGGGGGTTCTTTCATCCCTAAAATGTGGGTCAATGTAGATAAAAAAAAACATGTCTCTTAGATTTTTGTTCTTCAACATATATGAAAATCAATAAGATCGGCGGCGAACACTTGGGAATGTTTCCTTGTAAGGTTTGTTTCTATGTATAAATATCAATATTATACAGTATCTTTTAGTCTACGTCATGCCTATGTTACTCAAACACACACGCACACGTGAGCACGTCAGTGACCCCTTCCCTAAAAATGTGAGATTTTTAAAACAGGTGTTCCATCTCTCTCGGAATTAGTCTATGTCTGTTTTTATAGAGATGGAGTCCAGATGAACATTAGATCGAGACTCGGTTAAACCTCGAAAACCTCAATATTCATATACTTCATTGAACCTCGCTTCACCCTCGAAATCCTCCCATTTTCTCCTGGCCCTAAGAATAGAGTTTTACATAAATTACTAACATAAATTGTAATATTAAATTTGACACATTTAAGATTTTACGTTTCACGAATGGAATAAACTTATACTTCTAATACATTTCCCAGTTAGGTTTTCCCCATCTTTCTGCAATAACTTGTAGTTTGAAGATTTTCAGATCTAACTTGTGTAGAAAGGAGTAACTATTATATTTTAAGACTTTTCAAGCTTCAATTCACTTGAAACGGTTGGAGGACATCGAGGTTCAAATGAGAAAAATCAAGTGTGCGGTCCTTAGTGAACTAAATGTTGTTTCTCTTACGCCAGACTTTTGCTATATTTAACATTTTGTTCCATCAAATGTGAGTTAATTTAATGCACTTTCTTCGCGAGTAAGACACTTTCTAACGTTATGTCGAAGTCCCGAAGCAGCCAATCATCCATGGACATTAATGAAACTGAAATTTCTGTGAGAAAATGAATGATTAAAAAAATAAAGGATTTCGAGGTTTAACTAAGATCAATAATTTTGACTCGGATACGGGGTAAAGTGCCTGACTAACGACAGAAGCCATAGCCTCCACCAATGCCATTGGCGTGTAATATCGATGGGGGAAAGCACTCGTTCCGCATGGTCGGAGAAAAAGGGTCCTCGAAATGGCTACTCACAAGTATTTCTTGTTCTCGTACACGTCCGAAAGGCCGAGGACGTGAGGGTGGTCGATGAGCTTCATAATGGCGATCTCGCGTTCCACTTTCATTAACACCGATTCCGAGAGTTTCTCGCGGTTGATGATCTTGATCGCCACCTTCTTGCCCAGCACGCAGTGGACCCCCAGCTTGACCAAACCTGCGACAAAGGGGCGCGTCGTTAATCCTCCGGAGAGAGAAAACGGAGGGAAACGAGGAAAACGAGGAAAACGAGGAAACCGGGGCTGCCGAGGGGCGGCTCGCTTTTATTAAGAGGGCCAGGGGATCCCGAGGGCAAATCGCCTTTATTAAACCTAATTCACAATCTAGTAGAGGGCGCATTCTACGCATTGCTTTACGCATGAAACCATCCCCCGGTGCCTTGGAGGAATGCTCCGGGTTCTCGAACCGCCAGGAGCAGCATCTCCTGGTAGATCAAAGCCTAAGTAGTTGTTGACCCTTTGGCGTCCGTAATCGGTTTCGAGGCTTGATTTCAAGGTAATCGATCGGCTTTAGTGGCCGGTTTCTGCCCAAGTTTCCTTTGTTTTAAACTAATCGGTTAAGACGGTTTTCTAATAAGAGTTAGTTCTTAGTTTCTGAGTGTTGTTTTTGAGTACTCATTGTTTATGTTTGGATTGTACGTAAATCTACATTGAAGATACACTTCTATATTTTCAACATATTCGTATGCAGACACATGGTAGAATTTGGAATCGCGGTAGTCGACAAGAAAATGGGATTAATCTGTATTACGTATGACGGTACCCTTCCGGAATACTAGACATCGTAACATAATAGTTACAACATTTAACAAAATCGGTGAAATGTGGAAAGAATTGAAATTACTGGCACAGATGACTACGGCAGATTAACTCTTTGAGGCACGGTGGGATTAAAAATGTCCCACCTTTTTAATGCATTGTAGCGTAATTTTCATGTTTGAATATTCGCGCAATCGCACGTAACCGATTTGTGAGGCCTCTACCGGGGTGTCCGAGTAATCTCTCCGGTGCTACGATTTCGGTGGTATCGGAAGAAGCGATCGCTCTCTCTACCGACAACCTTCGCTCGAGGCACATCGCGAGGAAGAACTGAGCCGTCCCAGGGTTCCAGGATGGAGCATCAAAGACGAACAATTGTTTCTGCCCACATGTGACTACCCTTGCATCAGTTCACAGAATTAAATTTTCACTCCGAAACCTCGTATGCCCATCGTTTAAGCAAAGAAGCGCGTACAATACTTTTTTTGCCTTTATCCTGTTCAAATGCGAGTTTATCGATTACCAGAGTGTTCTAAATTGTCGTAAAATTGTCCTGACCCTTTCGTTTCTCATATCAGAGCCTTCGATAATTGTATATTGATCGAAATATGCGAGCTCGACGCCATTTTGGTTCTGGTCTGGGCTAAGCTAAAAAATGTTTTCCAAAAATCAAAATTTTGAATGTGTCAGGAGAATTCTTAGATGATCAGGAGTGATGTGTCAAAGTTTCGGACAGTTTGGTATGATACCCTTAAAAAAAAGTGTTGTATTCGACTGATTTGACGGAGGTTTTACTTCACCTTAACTTTTGGAATATATTAATACGGGAAAAGTGATAACAAAAGTACCAAATATCTGGAGGCGACATTGACATAATCTTTGAATTCGTTTTCAAATTTGCACGTTAAAAATGTCTTTTAACTCCAATAGAACGAATTTTCAAAACGTTTACAGGCGCCGACCGCGGTGGAAATGTTAAAGATAAATTCAGCCAAATGTGTTTCTATCTCGAACAGATATTTTTTGCTGCAGAATATCGGAAAAATGTGTGATCAAGACGAATTTCAGGGCGTCTTCTAATCTTTATTTCGGATTGCTAGAAATAATGTTCACGAGGATGCTCTCCAAAATTGGTCTGCGATGTGTGATAGAATGGGAAATAAAAGAAGAACATACTTTTTGTGCGCCGGCGAAACGTCAATTTTCTGTGAATTCAGCAGGAATTGGAGCAAACACTCTCAGCCTGCCAACGCGCTTTTCAGCACGGTTCATGAGATTTTAATGCGCGAAAGTTAGGCGGATCGTTTGTTAGAAATTTCACCAGGAGTTCGAGGCTCGATAAATCGACGGAGGAAACGATTCGATCATAGGTACTGCAGTTATGTTATGTCGTGGAAAGTCGCGCGCTTGGATAACGCGAGGATAAACTTGGGCGAAAATAGTTTCGAGTGATTTATTACCGCAGTAAGAATAGTCTCCGAAGTCACGAATTTCATAAAATTTCCTTTCCAAGATAGAAGCGACCGGATACGGTGAACTTTCCAAACATCATACGATATTTCCTTCTTCTCTACGAAAATTATAATGAAGTACCTATAATAAAAACGCCTAAAAAATAAAGTCCCAAAAGCCATAATATAAATATAACGCACAGTAAATCACTGATTACATATACTTATAATTTGTGTATCTTCCAGTCTGTTATGATAATTGTCTATTGTACATGTCCATTATAATAATTGTCATTGCAAGATTACTTCTTCGTTTTGATAACGAGGAAGTAATCTTGTACGTCATCGACTTATCGAAGCCCTTTTTCCGTTTCATTTTCTTCTGTAAGAAGCAGGCATTTCAAATAGTAATTTTAAAACTTCTTAATAGTCGTTTCTCTAGGGGAATAAAATCGGAAACGAAACGTAGACGTAAACTTCATAACGTGGACAGAGCCCCGCAGAACTTGCTACTTCATAATGGCTCGTCTCCGGAACTTCATAAAGGGTTAAGCCCTCTAATGCACATTGCAGAGTTGCAAGGCAACGTCATTAGTCGGGGTACGAAGGGCTTAGACTTTTTGTCGATACTTTAATCCACGTTGTACCGTGTTCCACCGAAGGTCATGCCAGAGGTTCAAGAGCGCATCGATCCTGCATTTTGCAAACGGAATTAGTGCAAGTCTGCAGCTATGTCTGAAGAAATCTCGCGCTCGAACATGGAATCATCACCGATAAAAGATCTCGTTCTCGAGTGAAAAGTTGCGAAAGGTAACAAGGACAAAGGCTCCTCGTAACGTGGAGGGAGGCGAAAGATAAATTGCTGGGCGATAAGGAAAAGAATTCTCCGAACTGGAGAAACTTACGGGTTCTGAGCGTGAAACTCTTCCCCGTCCCAATCTGACGTCTCGTTGTTAAATATTTGTACAGTTTTGTTATACAGTTTCTGGAAATAAAGCCGAAACATGGATATGTTTATTTCTTCATTCTTTCAGTACCTTTACGTATTAATTTGCAGGATTCTCATGACTGTAGGAGACGATAATCGTGACAGATACGTACAAGAATCAAAAATGAGGAACGGAAATAAACGCGCTTGTCATTTATTGTTATCAATGCGAAGTAATATGTTATCTTAGTAGTTAATATCAGAGAAATATTGATTTGTCGTTTCACCCTCGCCCTTGACAGCGCATCGGATCTTCTCGGACCGCGAACTCTATTTCCCAAGAGAGAACGTCATCCAATGTGTCATCCTCGATAAAACAATCAATTAGTTCCCATGTCGGGGTCATGAGATAATCCCCCAAATCCCCAGAAAAATTCACTTTTCTCGTAAAGAAAAGGAAACAAAAAAAAACGATTTTACACCTCCCTAACCTCAGATTGAAATCTTTCAGAATATTGCATTTAGATTTATTGTGTTTTTGATATGATCAAAAGTACTGTTTAGTGACAAGAATTCTCTAAAAAATTATAATTTTTTTTTCTTTAATTACGGGGGGTCATTCCGTTTAAATCTAAAGGCGCGTATGATTATTGCATAAACCTTGTTTCAAGCGGTTATTATAAAGTGTACGTGTCATATATTCCTTAGAAACACCACAGCGAGTTGCCTTTCACCGGAAATCATCGATCAATTAATTTCGTCATAATGCCTTGATGACGGATTAAGTTATCAGGGTATTTAAACCGTTTGGTGCTTTAAGGTGAAGTGAAACACGTCGAGGAACTTGATCGACGTCGATAAAGAAGATTTTTCTAAATGTCTACGTTGCCGACGTTGGTTTTTATATTGACAGCTGTGTCGAATTATATTGGATATTGTACCAAATGGCATATTCCACCTGTCGTTTTCGTACAATAAATATCAAGAAAACGAAGTAAAACTCCAGGAATCCTCTGAATTCATGCTTTCTGGGACCCTAATTGACTGCAGAGGGACCCCCTGCGCCATCTGTGATTTCCAGGTGAATTAAATTTTCACTCCGAGACCTCGTATTCCCATCGTTTTAGCTTAGAAGCGCATGCAACACTTTTTTTGCCTTTATCCCGTTCAAATGCGAGTTTATCGATTACCAGAGTGTTCTAAATTGTCCTGACCCTTTCGTTTCTCATATCAGAGCCTTCGATAATTGTATATTGATCGAAATATGAGAGCTCGACGCCATTTTGGTTCTGGTTTGGGCTAAGTTAAACAATTTTTTCAAAAAATCAAAATTTTGAATGTGTCAGGACAACTCTTAGATGATCAAGAGTGATGTGTAAAAGTTTCGGACAGTTGGGTCTGATACTCTTAAAAAAAAGTGTTTTCTTCGAATCGACTGATTTGAAGGGGGTTTCACTTCACCTTAATCCAATCGTAGAGACGAGTTCGGTTCTCGATTAATTTCAGTTCAGACGGAAAGGGTTGTTCCTCTGGACGTCGGAGAATTTCCAAAGGGATACAGCGTTCAGTCGATGATACCAGTATTTTTCACAGCTCTTATAAAATGAACGCTTTTCCCTAGATTATAAACTTTATTTCGATATTTCTATCGATTGAATTAGAAAAACGCGCGTTCGTTAACTCGAACGCTATTGAAGCCATTTCCTTAGAAGCGCCATGGCGAAATGCTGCCTTGTAGGAATGATCGATCAATTAATATCGTCGTAACGACTTGATGACGGATTAAGTTCTCGGTTGATTTCAATTCAGACAGAAGGGATGGTCCCGTGGGGCTTAGGAGAATTTGCGAGGGGCAATCGAGGCCGGTCGATGTCGGTCGATGCCGGCAATCTGCTGTCTGTCTGGCATATATTCCCACTGTCGGGTAGGTATATCAGTGGCGTGCATTGCGTCGCATATCATTGCCCCGGGAATTAGCATTCTATCCGCACGTGCGACACCGATACATCCTGCGGTATAA